CACACAAAAAAAAAAGGAAATAAATAGGGCGCTACTTTCCCGAACTCTGAAGGCGAAATTGTGTACCTTAATGCAAATGATTTCGCATGTCACTAATGTAGGTGTGGTTGAAAAGCTTTTGCTGTTCGTTCGTGAAAGTACGATCGTTGAGGTGAAGTTAATTTAATTTAGTGAGCGTGAGAATTGACTATGCTAAATGATAGTTTAGTAAAATATTTATCATATAGAAGTAGAACTCATAATTTGAAAAATTTCTCTAACTGTCTCATCAATTTTTCTATTTTTCTTCCTTCCATTTTTACTTCGCGAATGGAGAGAATATTGTGTATTCCTCGAACTAACAAAAATGGAGGTAAAAATGAGAAAGACAAGCTGGAGGAATATGATTTTCTTTCAATCTCGTAACTTTAGTAGCTAGACGCTTTTAAGGGTAGTCTTCTATGGATTTGAGGGATTTACAATTAAGTATTGAATACATGTCTGAATTTTAGACGAGCTGGATGAATGTGTGATCGTAACTTGGGTGATATGTTGTTATTTTGTTGCCAACTATGTTTAAAAAAAATATAAATAAATAGAAGTTAAAAATTAAAATTAATAGGTTACGATATATACACATATTCTAAAAAGAAATTCATCGAAATTCTGGAAGGCCAAGACGTGTAGTGTAGGATGGTTTGTCCAAAAAGCTTCTTTTCCAGCTTGGCACTCCCTTTTCCAATATCCTGGAGCACTGCCACGTATTCCCATATTTTTCTTCCCAACAAAATTAGCAGAAAAAATGAAAATCTAAATTTTCTCATTAAATATTGGAATACTAGTTTGAAACTCAATTAATTTCTTATAGTTTTAGGGAAAAAAATTCGTACCCAGCATCTAAATTAATTGTCATAATTTTATTATTGTAAAAGTTGTTATAAAGTTATAACATTGTTACCAATCAACTTTGAATATTACTCAATTAAGACACATCTTCGATTAATAAGTTGTAAGTTCTTTAGATCCCTACGTCAGTTTTGGTTTATTAATGGTAATGATAGTTTTTCTTTTTCTTTTTTCTCATAATTCTTTCTGAAAATAAACTAATTAAAATAGATATATATACTATAGACAGGAGTCAAACATAGAAGGGCCTGAATGAGTCATACACAGCAGAGTTAGGCAGCTGGATCATGTGCCCCCATGATCACCACACACCCAACTAGCAAAGCCCATCATCACCATTAAAATATCCCCCGTGGGCCCCACTACCAATTTTCATCTGTGGGACCCACCCCACCACCCACCCAATAAGAATCAAGATATTCCTTCCACGACAGTCTGCTTTACACAATAAAACACCACTGGGTATTTTTTTCCCCCACTTGGTTAATAAAATAAAAATAAAAATAAAAATAGCCCGTTTGGTTTATGCTTTTATTAACTTTGCCATAATAAGTAGCCTTTTGGTCACCGTCTTGTAGTGCAAATCTAGAAAGCCCAAATATTCCATTGTCCTAACTCCTAAACTAATATATTCAATATTCTTTTAATAATTTAGAGTGTTCAGGTTTAAAAAAAAAAAAAAGATCCTTAAAAAAGTTGTATAATTAATGCTCAAATCCTAAGTTTCCAAACTATAGAAGTAAATATTTATAATATATCCCTACAAATATTGTTAATAATGGCAATAACTTAAATGCTTGATATCCATATTGGTATAATAGATTTTGTTATATTTGTTAAATTCATACACTAATCACTCTTCAATTGCTATAATCAAAATAAGTAAATTTCTATTGTTTTCTTTACATACATGTAGGAATTGTTTCAAGTCAAAGGTTTTGGAAAGGTCAAAAAGGAAACGAAATCCCAAAATCCCTCATATGTAATGTATGTTATATTGAGTATAAATATCAAGGAGAAATTACAAATTTTTCAAGAGTAAGAAAAGAAAGGTATATACTTCATTCAAGGAATCAAATGACCTATGTGTAGCCTTATCCAAAATAAACCTATTGATGAAGATGGTCTTCATTTGGTAGGAATCTTTAGGATGATATAAGTTCATCTAGGACCCCATCAAAATAGAGAATTCCTATTCATATTTCAATTATTCAATCAATAATTTTTTAAACCCACCCGTGACTCTCCAAAATTAAAATATGAGATGGGAAGGAAGGATTCAAATCTTAGGATATGTTTGGGAGTGATTTAGGTTGCTATTATCAAAATCACTCCCATTTCCATTAATCATGTTCGGCAAATTTAAAAATTGATTTTCAAGGTATCACATCAATTATACTTATATTTTTTTTTCAAAATTATTCATTCTACTATCACTCTCAAAGACACCCTCACTCCTTTAAAAAATGTTAACATATAAATGAGAGAGATAATTCTCAAACTCAAAAGTCTTCCAATCCTTAGAGTCAAAAGTAAACATGTTAGTAATAAAACTTGTCTTAAAAAAAAGTCCAAAAAATAATACGTTACATAAACAAAATATATATTGATTTTTTCTTCAATTATGATAGGTCCAATATGTCATACATCATCCTTCATAACCATCAAGACTAGTAAGTCTATACAATTGTCTACAATTCCATATATGGTTAGAAAATTTAACTCAACACCGACTCTGTTTCCTCGAGTGGAACTCCCGAGGGAAGAGTTAATGAGAATGGTGTCAAAATATCAACAAATGCACGGAATGCATCTCACATCTCAACCCACAAGTTGTCTCATGTAATAAATTCAAAATTGTATCATTCAAATCAAAATGAAAAAAGGAAAAAGAAGAAAAAAAGTAAGAAAAGTAGAAGAGAGTTTTTAGGGAAAATGCTGTGAATCCCAATGGCACAAAAACGGGGAACAAACAAGGTGCTCCTGTTATAGAAACAAGGAAGTGACGCACCAAGAGCCAAAAACATACTTGTCAGAATGGCATTTAATTTTTTCTCTCCCAATTTTCTTCTGTGGGTCTCTCTCTTCTCTTGTTCACTCCAAGGAAGCTGCCTCTCCTCTTCAAAACCTCACAACCTAGATAAGAAAATTCTCTCTTTCTCTCTCTGGAACCTATTTTGTATGTTTAGTAAACGACAATAGAGTCTCAGACAGAAGATTGGATAAATGGGGTTATCAAGGGGAGAGTGGCGCTTTAGGCCACCCAAATTCTGTTTCCCTCCTTCCATCTGTTTGATGAAATGCCTGTGAGAAAATGACCTCTTCAATCTCTTCTCATTTTCCCTCTCTGCGTCCATCACGCCACCCCTCCCCCTTTTGGGTCGTTGTTTTGACCACTTGTTCTTGATTATATGATTGTGATTGGAAATAATGATTCTAATTATTCCAAATGGGAAATTTTGCTTAATGACTTGATTTACTCCCTTCCCAATATTGGTCAAATTATGCATTGGAGACAGCCATGTTCTGTCCATTTGGGTGTGTGGGAGACATCCAGAAAAGGATAAGTTTGCAGTCAAGTTTCCAAATTTGATCCATGGGATGGCTTTCCTTTTGTTGGTGATGGTGGCTTTCTTTCTGCCCATTGGTGGTTTGCATTTGAGAAGAACCACCAAGACTCGTGGGTTTTGTGTTGGTATACAGTGGGACTCGGACTCTCTATAGCTTCAATCATGGTTTGGACACGTTTCTGAAAATGGAAGAATATGATTGTTAAAAATTAGATGTTGCTCAAATTGATTAAGGTATTAAGAACCTCTTTCAAAAGTCAAAAGTTCAAATCTTCTGTTGAACTAAAATAAATGTTTTAGATGTCTCGAGACGAAGGATATAGTGTAAAGTATGAAAAGAGAGATATTAATATAACTTGTTCGATAAATAGGATAATATATTTGATTGCATTGGAAAGGTCTAGGGAATGATGTGGAAATATGAGAATGAGATTCAAATTCCAAGTTTGTGAACAAAATGCTTCTATCTCTATGGTTCTATTCCTCCAATCAGATGAAAGGAAAACAGGCTCTTGGCCCAGAGCCCATCCCCCATCATGGCCTGTGGGGGAAAAATGAAAATGCAATTTTCTTTCCCAAAAAATCATAGTCAACTGATTGGTTTTATGAAGAAAAGAGAAAAGGAATGGTAAACAGTAAAAAGTATAATTACATGTGAAAGTTTTGCAGGAGAAAGAGGCAGAGAGGACAGTACTTAGAGAAACAAAGGTAGACAGTTTTCAGGAACATTCCAATTGTGCTGATGACTGATTTTTACCATACAATACAATATTATGTTGTCACCGTAACTTTAACCCCTTTGAATCTGAATCTAATTAATATTATTTCATCTAATTCTATATATATATATATATATATATATATAAAAAGTTAGTTCCTTTTTATATGTTTCAAGCATCAATCATTTATAAATAGTGAAAATTGATCGAAACCGAACTCAATTTATACATTTTTACAAAGTGATTTATTTTCTTTTTCTAGTGCAAGGAATATGGAGTATAAAGATTTTAAAATAAAAGGTTCTTTTAACTTTTGACATAGTTATTTTCACTAAAACTAGTTTAAAATTTTCAATTCGTGTGAACCCCTTTCAAATTTACAAGACCTCAAAAATCACTTATAAACTCTATGGTTACTAAATGATATCTAAAAACTTAGAATTGTTGCAAAACTTTCAATGATACGAGTTGCAAATTTTCATTTAAAAGAGGAAAAAAAGTTGACATTTTTCTTTAAAAATTTTCAAAACTCACTCTTTTGCCTCCCTCTCTTTTCTTCATGGGAAATTGAACCATATTTCAGAACACAGCTGACAAATCTGAACAGACAAATATTTTTTTAAATCTCAACCAACGTAAAAGAAAATGAAAGAAATAAAGGGTATCACACAAACACAATGAAGTTCGCCATTGCCGATTCAGTCACAGATTCAAAGCTATATTCCTTTAGAGAGAGAGAGAGAGAGATGGAAAAGACTTGAAAAAAGGAATGAAAATAAATTTATTATGGCAAGTTATGATCCAATATGTAAAAAAATCCCCCCCTTCTCTCCCTTTTCCCTTCTATTAATACCTTATCCCATAAAGCCTCCCCATTCCCTCGAGCAAGAGAAGAAAAAGAAGAAGGAAAAAAAAAACAAAAAACAAAAAACAAAAAGGAGTGCTCTCTACGGGGGTATCTCTCTGAGCAATTCATGTACCTGATTCCCACAAACAAGTACTTCTTCAATTCATTCTCCTTCAATCATCATGTGTGTTTCAATCTCCTCCTCTGCCCCTGCCCCTGCCCCTGCCCCTGCCCCCACTCTCTCTTCATCCAAATTCCCGCCGCCGCAAATATTTCAGTTGTTTGATGTTTTCCCCAAAAAGCAGACGGAGCAATTTTTTTCCTGGGAGATTATAAGCGAAGCGAAATCTCTGTTCTCTCTGGCTTTTCCAATTGCTCTGACGGCTCTCATAATTTACTCTCGTTCAATCATATCCATGCTTTTTCTCGGCCGGCTCGGTGACATTGAACTCGCCGCCGGTTCTCTCGCCATCGCCTTCGCCAACATCACCGGCTACTCTGTTCTCTCCGGGTTGGCTTTGGGAATGGAGCCACTCTGTTCTCAGGCATTCGGAGCCCACCGTCCGAAGCTTCTCTCTTTAACCCTTCACCGCGCGGTGATTTTTCTCCTCGTTTCTTCAATACCCATTTCTTTACTCTGGGTAAAAATGGCGAAAATTTTACTGTTTCTCCGTCAAGATCCGGGGATTACAGAGATGGCGCAGACTTATTTGATTTTCTCTCTCCCGGAGCTGGTGACGAATTCGTTTATTAACCCAATCCGCATTTACCTTCGCGCTCAGGGCGTCACCGTCCCTCTCACTTTAGCATCGCTCGCCGGGGCTGTCTTTCACGTGCCGATCAATTTGCTGTTGGTGTCCCATTTCGAGTTTGGCGTGGCCGGCGTGGCGGCGGCGGCGGCGGCTACCAATTTTCTGGTGTTGGTTTTTTTGGTGGCGTACGTCGTCGTTTCGGGGGTTCACGCTCCTACTTGGACGGCGCCGAGCCGGGAGTGTCTGAGCGGCTGGAAGCCGCTGCTGGAGCTAGCCGCGCCGAGCTGCGTCTCGGTTTGCTTGGAGTGGTGGTGGTACGAGATTATGATCGTGCTGTGTGGCCTTCTGGTGGGCCCCAAAGCAACCGTCGCTTCCATGGGGGTTTTGATTCAAACGACGTCGTTGATTTATATTTTTCCATCGTCGCTTGGCTTCGCTGTCTCCACCCGCGTCGGAAACGAACTCGGCGCCGGCCGGCCGCACAAGGCGAAATTATCCGCCGTGGTGGCGGTGTTTGTGGCGGCGATGTTGGGATTGGGGGCCACGATGTTCGCGACGGGGATGAGGAATAAGTGGGCCCGGATGTTCACCGACGACGCGGAAATCCTGCGGCTTACGTCGGTGGCGCTGCCGATTTTGGGGCTGTGTGAGCTCGGGAACTGCCCGCAGACAGTCGGGTGCGGCGTTCTGAGAGGGAGCGCGCGGCCATCCACGGCGGCGAACATAAACCTCGGCGCGTTTTACGGCGTGGGCATGCCGGTGGCGGTTGGGCTCGCGTTCAGGTTAGGGGTTGGGTTTTGTGGGCTTTGGTTGGGCCTATTGTCGGCCCAAGTTTGTTGTGCTGGGCTTATGTTGTATGTAATCGGCACCACTGACTGGGACTTCCAAGCTTGTAGGTCCCACATGCTGACGTGTACTGCGGGTGAAGAATTACCCTTGATTTCTCCGCCACATAATTCATCTTAATTTACACCAAATTGTAAACCAATTTTATTGTTTAGCTCCAGAAGAAAAACCTTTCTTTTTTACCTCTTCGAGATCCTATCTGCATCAATTTTTTTTTTCCATATTTATTTAATTAATTAATTCGCAGTATCTATCGACTTTAATAACTATAATCGTATGACAAAAATTTCGTTATCATATATTATGAATTAGTCAAAATTAATTCAGTTGTCAATATAAACAAATACGAAGTACAACTTATTAGAGTGTGGACAAAATTTCAACGTTCTATCCATGTACATTTTTCTATTTATCTTAATCATTGTTATCTTTTGTACTAACTATTCTTGTATAATCATGAAAAATTTTAAATCAATCGTCACTATTAATTTATAATATCGAAGTTATTTAATTTAAAAAGATCTCCTAAATATTGATGTTCTTCTAATCCTTATTTGAATATTTTATATTATCCATCCAGGAAGACAACTTCAAACCCATGGAATTCATCTTCCTATTGTATTTGAAATTGGGATAAGACTTTGATTATATTAGAACAAAATCTTATCACTAAGGGGGTGGGGGGTAAAATTTGTTAGAAAAATGGCATTAATGAAGGGGGAATTGGAGTTGAGGGAAATGTCTCAAAAATTCAGACATGTTTGGTCTGTTTCTTTCATAAGTTTTGTTTTTGGTTGGATGTTCTAATCTAACGCATGCATAGTAGCACCCATCACCATCACAGACCTATGGTAGGTCAGTACGTGCACAAAAAACATCATGGATCTGTTTCTAACAGTATCACCGTTTTCCTTCCATTCCCATTATGCCCCTCTCTCCGCCCATTTTTTTCACCCCCATTTTTTTCCTCAAGCAAATTATTGAAGAGACCACAACAATGTAGTTGGTGGTTTTACATCCTTAAATTCATAAGAGAGATATTACAAAATGTATTTTGAACATATATCTAAGGGTTATAAGAGCACGCAGATTTCAAATCTAAATCTCCAATAATTATTAAAAGCATTCATAACTGTGTAGCAACCATATTGAATAATTTTTTTTTTTTTACTTGTCCTCCTCATACGAAATGTTAGGTCCCCTCAAGATCCGTTTGAGCTTTTTGGACTCTGATACCATATCAATATTCATGGGTTCCATCTCAAAATCAATTGGCAATGAAATGAGTAATCCATGTCTATTATAAACCATTGTTAGGTCCCCTCTGTTTTTAATGTGAGATCCTTAACACATTGCAAATAACCTTAAAATTTTTCAACCAAATATAGCCACATTGAATAAATTTTTTCCTACTCCTTTCCTTCATATGAAATATTTAAAAATTTTCAATTTCATTGTGAATGGCCTTAAAAATTTTCAACCAAATATATATTTAATAATGCGATTAAAATAATTGAATGATAGAAAGGGTGACATGTCATTTGAATAGTCTTTATGATAATAGATGTGTCTTTTTCCTTTTAGTTGGATGAGATATGAGAAGTCTTGTTAATCTATGGTAACATCTCATCTATTATCATTAAATATAGCATATTCATACCCAATTTGAAAGATGCTGTATATTAAAATGACAATTTTCTCATTTTTCAGGGAAACTTTTCTCTCTCTCTCAACTCCCCTATCATTCGGATAGAATAATAATGAGGCAAAAGGAAACTAGGGTTGAAAGGGAAAACAAGGCCTTTCAAAACTAATTGTACATGGCTGGTGACTTGAGTTGTTTCTTTCTCGACAATAAAGTTTATCGTCCTTTATTATTTCACTAGTCGATTTTGACCTTTGTTAGATTGAGATTATATCTAGTGGTCATAATTTGTCTCGATTTTGTATCTCTCAAAGCTAGTACTAAAATAGTGTTTTACCCCTGCATATCTAGTGTCAAACTAATGTCATGGTGCAAATAAATGAAGGAAGGGAAAAAAGACAGACAAATTGCAAGAGAGTGAGTGTGTGATGTCTCTTTTTTGAGAGGGCAAAAATAAGAAACTATTATATGGTTGGCATTACAATTTACAATTACCCATTCAATAATAACATATCTAATCTCTCATTTCCCACACTCTTTTGAGATATGTTTGGGAGTGATGATATAATTAATGATTTTAAAAGAAGAGATTTAAGTATAATTGAGATTTTTCAAAAACATTATATGATTTTGACAATAAAATAAATCTACATGCATGTCCTTCTCCAGAAACTTTCTTCCTAGAAAAAGTTGAATCGTAAACTTTTTGGTCCAATATTCACCATAAATTTGAGTCACGAATAAGTACTAATAAATTATCATTTGTATACATATCCTTCTTCATATAATGAATAACATTATTATATGAAAAAATAGTTCAGAGAATAAATAAAATCCTGGAATAAACTGTATAACCTTCCTCACAAGTACATCATCACCAACGTGAAGTAACCAATTTATATTCTATGAAAAATAATCTAGATTATTCTGATTGATATATATATATATATCACAAAAACATGAAGAAAATCATGTCTACAAAATTGTAAACTACCCCACTAAACTTAGGAAATCAATATTGATCAATCTGAATATAACCCAGTACAGAAAAAAATAGTTTTTTGTATTTATGTATACATAGTAATTTTAGTATATAAGACCTCCAAATCTTTCATGTCACGAACATAATGTGACAGAAATTAAATGTCACGTTAACTTAGTTTTGAGTTTATATCTCTATTATTGGATTTTTTTTTTTATAACAAGAGAACTGTTAATGAGAAAGATGGCCCCTGATTTTTCCAAATCAAGTTAATTCATAGAGGTGGTGAAGTGACCGAGCATCTGGATTTGCCCCTTTGGAATCAAATCTGTTTGAATTTGCTAAATATTTTATTTTTAATTTTTAATTTTTTATAAGAGTGAAAATTTAATTTTTGAATTTTAAAATAGTAATAGATATCTATTCACTGTACTAAAATATCATCCTTGTTTAATTTCATCCCTTATTTTAGCCGTGTACACGTATTTGTAAGAATCAATAAAACCTCTTTTTTTTTCCTGAAAAAAAAAACTTCTCTTTTTTTAATCATATTTTAAGAAGATCTTAATTGCCACATTTATCCTCTTTTAATAACGTTAAACAAAAACATATTTCCCAGTTAAACCCATACGCAAATGGTGTATTGGAAATCTACACATAATTAAACATTATTGTTTAATTATTAATTGAACCTCTTCCTAGAAGTACTTAAAAAAGTGTAAATTTGAAAATGCTAGGATAGTAACAAAGCTATTCGTAATACCTACACATATGATATTATTTACTTTTTAATCTAAGCTAGTCCGTATAGTTTTATTTTTAAAATTTAAACTTCATAATAAGGGGACGTTATTCTTAATTTATACGCCCTAAGATGTATCTTTCTTTTTTTTTTTAGTTCAATGATCGTATGGTGGGACAAAACTATTCACTTTAGGAATAATAATATATATACGTATTGGTAGGGGTGAAAACCAAATTACAAATGTTGCCCTCTTGTTTTGCAACATGTCTTGGCCTCACAGCTCGACCTCACTGAGGACGAGGAGGAACCAACCAACATGCTGATACGCATAGTTCAGCTCAGCTCCCAAATCGGTGGAAGATTATGACGGGCAAGAAATCCACCGACAATCAATAGAAGGCCAATTATGCTGGCAGAGGATCTTCGTCTAACTATCAATAGAAGATCTGCTAAATGATAGGTGTGAGCACTCGTCACTAAGCCACATTTCCCAATGCTCTCCTCTATAGAATGTAGAGTCACACCTTCTCAAAGCCTTCAACTTAAGCTCGACTCAACTTGAATAGGTACTACTTTAAGCTTTGGGGTGTACGCGTGGCCAAGCATACCATACTAATGGAAGGTTCTATTTTCAAGTTAACCTGTTAGCCAGTTGAAAAGTATACATTAGATCGTCAATTGACATGTCACCTTGCTTAATCATGCGCAAACAGATGTTTTATCCACTCAATTATGTTTGAACTGAACGCTAAATATATATTCTACGTCTAACTAGCATGGGACTCCATATGAATCTTTTAATCTAAAAAAAATAGACAGCTATGAATAGTATTTATCTTATGGTAGGTCAATTTTTACCATATCTAAACATCATCAACCTATCTAGCTAGCACGAATTCAACTTATTTGAAACTACACATCCATGAGATGAATTTTATAACATAGAGAGAGAGATCTGACCCCACAACATAAATTCCTCCAAATTGATGATAAAAGACCTTTTAAGCCAACAAGGTAGCTAGGGCTTTATCCTTTTGAGGAACTCTCTCTCTCTCAAACCCATATATCTATATATGTATATATATATACACAGAGAGAGAGAGACAACATGATTGGAATGGAGAGTATATATATATATATATATATATATATTGGAAGAAGTATGGGTTTCATATTTTTTGAGATATGCAATACAAGAAAATGAAAAGGAAAATAAAGATGTGTAGAGAGGAAATGGAAATGGGAAGATAGAGAGAGACAGGATGATTTAGGAGGCACATGGTGTCCTTGTGAGTGAACACTTTCACTATTCCTCTTTCTCTCTTTGTTTCCTTTTTCCTAAACTCAAAACTCTCTCTCTCACTTTTCTAATTTCACTTTCTTCTCTCTCTCTCTCTCCCATCATGTCATGCCCTAGCTACTAGCTACCCCTTATTTGTGTGTGTCACACAAACACATGCACATAAATTTGTTGGGAGAGAAGTGGGTTTTGTCCACCTAACAAGCAACATTTCCCATAGTATGTACAAACCCAAGTTGCAGCTCTTCAATATTCCCCCTTTGCTTGGGTTATAATTTCAATAAATAAATCACTCACTTTTCTCACCTTCCTCGATTAATTATTTATTTGATTGGGGGCTCGGAGAAATTTGAACAAAAAGAGAGAAAACACGATTTTGAACCTGCTTTCTAGACATTTTGAACTTGCATGTAGCATTTATGGATTTGGATGCTGACATTGAACACTTCGACGAACACATTTTAATGTCTCAGTCAGACAAAGAGTTCAGTGTGCAGTAGAAGAAAGTAGGCTATTACGTAGAACGTAAATCTCGTGCCTCAAGTTAGTTTCTTCTCTTATTTATAGAAGAAATCTTATCGACTTAGTTCTAATGGACCGGTTTGACCTGATCAAATCGGGTCTAGTGTGGTTGTGGGTGATCCAACCTATTGTTTGGCTCGAGCAACTACAGCCATGTGATCACTTCTTATACTTCATTTTAAGGAGATTGATGTTGAAGTTGAAATGAGGGGAAATAGCAATTATTTTTATAGTAATGTTTGTGGGAAAATGAGAACGGGCATGGCATGTCTCCCTGAGTACCAACTGATGGCTCTGCAACACATGGCGGTTGTGTCGACCCATTTATATATATCTATAGATGCAACAAAAAACATGTTTTAGAGGGAAAGAGAGAGAAATAAAAAAAATAAGAAAAAAGGGTCGACCTCTCAACTCTCATTTAATGGCTCTCCCATTATTCCCTACCACCTCTCACCTCGACATTTGGGACCTCCCAATATTCCATCTCTATTTTTTTTTTTTTTTTTACTCCTCCGTTTCAATCAAAATAAACAAAAATACTGGGCTTTCGTTTTCATCTACTGGGCCTTATTCCCTTTATTGGGCTCCAGTTTCCAATTTGTACTGGGCTATGGAGTTGGAGGCCCAATAGTGGCCTTTCCTTCCTCGAATAGGTCTGCTTTTCGGCTTTTTATTCTTGGGCTGTAAAGTTCGCCGCCCAAGTAGCGGACTTTCCTTCCTCGTATAGGACTGTTTTGGGCCTCTCGTTCTTTTATTGGGCTACCGGATGCCAACTATATTGGGCGTGGAGAAAGTCGGGTCCATGCCATGTATTTGGGCCTTTCTGTTTACACTATATGATTTGTAAGGAATCTTTCTGCTCTTATCGGCCCATTAAGTATTGGGCTTTTCAATGTCTTAATACTTGAATTTCAAGGCAAATTTGACAAGAGTCAACTTTTTCTTTCTTTGAGTTGATTGCCGTGGAAATAAAGGGTATTCTTTTCAATAAAGTTGAATACTTTTTTTTTTTGATATAGTAAATGCATCCATTCTTTCTCCTTAGGTTACAGGTTTAAATCTCTCTCACACATTTTTCATTCATATATACTAAAAAATAGATTTCGGACGATCACCGATCAATTTGGTCTTACTTTTTGTGGACTTTGGATTCCCATATAAAAGTTATAATAATAGCCATAAATTAACAAAAACTATTTGGAGCTCAAAAAAAAATAATTAAAAAAATCTTTTAATCTTTTGATTGAAAATTTATACCTTAACCAATCGAACTTTCTTGAAGTTAGTATACAAGCAGCTACTAGACATACTATATTCATTCAAAGCATTACATGTCTGAACAAGCATTACATGTCTGAAATGATCAGACAATCCATCTTTCAAATAAAATGATCAGTCATTTCAGTATATTTTCCCTTCCAAAAATTAACACTCCAAACTCTTGACGATACAATTAGCATTACAATTGAAAACTTTGCCTCTAAAGATCAGTGGAGAATATATCAATGGCTGTCAAATAACCTATTATTTCTCTTACAAACTGCCTTTGAAGGTTTTTTAGCAATGGAAGCCTTTGGAGAATAAGATCTTTGAGCATCTAACCCTCCTCCATAGCTTTTACAACACTTCATCTTTTTCCTTTGAGGAATAATAATATTATTATTCACTCTCTTTGCAAGATCTTCCAAGCTCTTTGCACTTGCTAGAGATGTAAAAGATTGTGATTTCCCATTATAGAATTTGGATAGCCCTCTCCTACAAAAAGCCAAAGTAAAAGGGTTAATTATTTTGATTATCATTATTTTTGTTTAATAAACAAGATTCTTAGGGTTTACGTTATCTTCTTACTTGATGGGGAGATTGGCCATCAGCTCTGAGAGCTCATAGAGAGGTCCACTCGATGATGATAACGGCGAGAATGACGATAATGAAGGGTTTGAAGTAGAAGAAGATGATGCATCTTCAGCCAATTCCGATGAAAAAGATTCAATTGAGCTGATCGAGTTCTCCGAAGAAGAATCCATGGTGGAGATAGAAGCTTCACAAACTTCATCTTCTCCACTTTTCATGATTACCCAACTGAGTTCCCTCAACTCCATAGCTTCAAAAGCTTCAAGCTTTTCTTTGCCTCCTATGTCCATGTCCAGAAGAAGAAGAAAATTGGCAGAAATTGAGGAAGAAAGGGAATTGGGAAGGAGTTCAAAACTGGAAGAGGGTATTGACCAAAAAATTGTCTTTTTTTTTTTTTTGGGGGATTTTGAGAATTATTTTATAAAGGGGGGTGAGTAGGATGAGCATAGACATATATATAAAAGAATATTTTAAAAATGATGATAAATTTTGGGTGGTATTTATGGTGCAAATTGATTTGGTTTCCCATATTACAAGGAAAGAGGATAAGGTCTAAAATTGAAGACATCCAAATCTGAGTCACCATCTCTTTTTAGATCTTTGGAGTGAAACCCAACTTTTTGCCTCTTAAAGCCTTGACAGATTTTACATTATTTCATGTAACCATAAGATAAATTAAATTATTCGTTTTCTGATTATTTTACAAAGATTTGGTTTAATTTACTCTTGCAAGAAATCAATCTTCTAACATTCTATCTTTGTTTATAAAGGTTTCAAAATTGTAAACCACGTGTACCACAAAATATTTTTTTATATTATGGTTAAAAAAAACGGAGAAAGTGAAGTAATACGTAAGAGTTTTGTACTAAGAATTAAAGTTCAGAACCAGTGGATAAAGTCTGTATAGGTTTATTTGAGTTAGTCCAAAAAAAAACGAAGCTATGTGTTTTTTTTTTATCTCGGAGTTATGAATTTGTTAATCTCATTAATTGAAACAGTAAAATTATGATGTTTTTGAAACCTAAGTCTAAAAATGCATAATATTTTCTATACACCATAATTATAAGCATACAAATTAACAAATTTACAAACTACATCATCCAAACTTTGAAAATTCAAACTTTTGAATCTCGAGCTTTAAGAACTCTTACCAATTTGGTAAACCAAAATGTCCCTTTTGTAGTTATTACATTATTACAATATTTAACTTAGGTAGATAACTACTAGAATTGAATCCATCATACCAATATTAAATATATAACTTTAACAAAATTTAAAAATTCATATTATTATAAATCTAATTTATTATTCTTTTTATAAAGAAAATCAACTTATTGAAGATTTGTATCTAATGCATATCCTTGAGGATATAATCCATAGTTTTTGCAGCCAGAGTGGTTTCATATCTTTCCTCCTCTCCTCTTTTAGTTAGATTTTTTTAAAAGGAATAGTTGAATATAATTATTATATAAGAAAAGAAACTTCCAATGACATCATAAAATTTTTATTTGTTTGTTGTGTCAAATAGGTCGATGGTCTTGTATCCTAATACATTTGGGAGTTTTGTAAAATTTTATTTGTTTGTTGTGCCAAATAGGTCGATAGTCTTGTATCCTAATACATTTGGGAGTTTTGTAAAAGGGAAAAAAAAGTATTACATATATGAAATTTAAAAATAATTAAAAGTATAATCAATTAATAAACACACATTATTAGGTTTCAATTTATTGGGTAGCTTGAGTTAGTTATATATATATATATATATATATAATTTATTTGACATCCCATCATTTGATGTTTATAAAAAATGCTGACCCATTATCTAATAACGTAGATTTGGTCTTCTCGTTTGTCTACTTAGCTTGAAAATGATAGAGATGACCAAATCCTTCCGCGCCCTTAGACACATTCCTTCCACGCCCTTATACCATAGAGTCGAAACATACTAAGATAACTTCAAACACTAGACCTCCACATCTACGTATATTAAAAAATGTCGGTATTTTTCAATTAAGTTCTGAAGCTATTTATTAATCATAAAAAATAGTTAATCAATAATTTAGTCTCACCAATCAAAATTTGACTTATATGGTTCGAATATTAAATGAGAAATACAAAGGTAGACATTTGAATCCACATCTTATCAAAGAGGTGAAAATGTCTTAACCTTACTGCTAATTCAATTATTTAGAATTTGCTAGTATGGGAATACTAAATTTAGATAAATCATGAGCTACTGTGGCAAGTGTTTTATGAGCGTTAAACCTATATATTTTAGGTAGGAAGTTGAAATTTTGAATTTCCAAATATGCCCTTGGAGTGATGGGTTTGGAGGGTATTTTGGGGATGGGAAAAAAGGATAAGAAGGTTGACTAAGGGCAGGAAAATTCACGTTTGGTGTACTAAAATGTGATTGGCATTCAAATAGAAACCACACATGCTTGGTTGAAGGTTGGCCTTACCCACATTTTCTTATGTGATCTTATCCATCAAAAAACCATATGCCTTTCTCATTAGGGTTCCTTCCACATTTTAAGAATCTTAGGATTATAATTTATGCCCACAGAATTTCAAAATATTGACCCACCAACCAAACTCTCCCATTCCTATGGTTTTCTATTTTTCTTTTGACAGTTGGCAAATATACATGTGTTGCCCTCAATGAACATATTTAAAGTTGTCTCCTCAATTTGGTTGGAGGGCTTTTTTTTCAAAGTAAAATTTTGTAGATAAAAAGTTATAAGCTATGTTAATATTTACTTTGTAGACCAGCTCAATTGACCATGACAATATTTACCTTCTCGGTTTGAATCTCCCAACTTGTTAAATTCATTAGAACATAATACAATTTAAATCAATTAGAGTAAAATGCAGAATGAAGAGGATTATTATTGATATGGTTTACTAATATTTAATCTAGAAAGAGAATCAAATGTCAATTGATTTGAAATAGAAATAAGTTGAAAAATAGAGAGGAACTCATGAAAAATGAAAAATATATATATATATATCCAAAATGTTTCCTGGGTTATAATTAGTACAATTTTTCAAAAATGGATGGGAATATAATTCAAATAGTTCACAAACCAGCAAAAACAATTGGAATCAAATTATAGGCAGAGAGGAAATTCCCATTCCAATTCCACATACGATCCAATTTCATGCCATAAAATTGGATCCGAAATATGGAAGTGATAGGAAATGGAGATTACTATGGAAGAAAAGTAGTTAAAAAGGGGCTTTTCCACGATGATTTTAATGGCTTAAAATATTGCTACTTTTGAAGCCAGGTTGGATTTTGTGGCCAAGGAGAACAACTATGATCAAAGAGAAAAGGAGAATAAAATCATTCGAACAATACTATTTATTCACTTTTATTTCAATCCAACCGTCTACCTACCTACTATTTTTAAAATTCAAAATGCAAAGTATTTTCTAATTCTAAAAATAATGCAGACAGCAATTCTCCTGGAAATTTCCTCATTATCAAGTCTTATTTTCTTATGGGACATCTATTACAAAGTATTTCATGTGTCACACATTCAATCATGAAATCTTATCATGTTGTTTTGTTTGATTGGCAATCTACTATGAAAAAATAGCATTCCATGTTTCATGAGGCAAAAGCATGTTACACGAGGAAGGAAGGGTTGTGAATTTTTCAACATATTACAGAAAACACAAAAAAGGTTTTGAGGAATATTATCTGGGAAAACTTACAGGGGGATCCAAGCTGCCAACGAGAATCCCGAGATCGATGTCTTTGTCTTCAAATTTCTTGATGAAAGGATGATCCTAGAAGCACAAAGAGAATTATTCAATGAGATTATGATTACCAATAGATCATTCATGGCTTGAAATTAAAGGGGCAAACAGAGATTACCAACCAGAAGGTCTAAAGATGATGATCTTTCTTTAGGGTCCTTTTTAATGCTGCCAATTGTAATGAAAATGGAATGTCAAATCTTGAACTGGACGAGGATTACAAAACCAAGATGAAAAAGGCAGAAAGAATAGTCATTACCAAGCAGATACGAAGGAACAGAACTCGGGGGAAAATTGATCTGGTGGGGCAGAAGGTGGTGGCTTTGCCACAATTGCCTCTAAAAGCTCATAGAAACTTGGCCAACTTTGCTGCTCTTCGGACTGCAAGTAGGGAAATCTTCCAATGGCACATTCAAGTACAACCAGGCCTAAACTCCAGATATCGCTGCTGTAGTCATACGTTCCCCCGCTAATTCGCTCGGGCTGAAATGGAAGTAAAATCCAGTAGGGTCACGCTTCATATCAAATACAAACATTGTGCACAAGCAGATGACTGAAAGAATTGTATCAGAAAACAAAATCAATCTGTTCAATATTTTAGTCTCTGGGAGAATTTCACATACCGACATGTAATTGTAAGTCCCTACAAATGTATCTCTCTGACCCATAGAACTTGCTAGCATTGCACTTACTCCAAAATCGGTGATTTTCACCTCTCCTTTATGGTTCACGAGTAGATTGGATGGTTTGATGTCTCTGTGGATAACATGTCTTTCATGATGCAAGTAAACAAGACCTTGTAAAACCTGGAAAAACATAATTGCAGTGAGTGAGCATGAGTAAAGAAAAAACTTGGTTCTTTCATTGAGCTTTAGATTTCAGAATCCTGAGACCTGTTTACAAACAACTGCAAGATATGGTTCGAGAATCGTTTTGACTTGTCTGACAACATCAGCTAATGAACCCCGATCCATGTATTCTAGCACAAGAGAAATGGCACCATTGTGGTAGAAAGAATGATAGCAGACCACAACATGAGGACATTGGGCTGCCTGATTTATTTTCAGCTCCTGCACTATCTGTTTACGGATATCCTCTTGTATGTTCATCTGGATGACCTGAAGCAGATGACAGGAAAGAGTTTAAGAGCTGTATGACATGGACTTGATATGATTTGAGTCTATGCAAAAGCCAATAATATATCACAAATAACAGTAGATTTTGATGAAAATGATACGATAGTAACAATGATCATTAAACATAGTAAAGACCTAAGCAGAATAAAATCCATAGGACTTTGAAGTTCAAATAAATAAACCATAAAAAGATCTAAGATGACCAAAACCAAAAGATTACCCTGGCTTCAGAATTTGAAAAACTTACAAACAGGAAAACAAGTTGATTGTGGCACTATTTTGACTTTGTGTTCGTTAAGTTTTAGCATAAAGAAGACACGAAACAAATAAAATCATCAATCAACACCAAGCATGGCCCTATCATATTATTAAGACAATCATAACAAAAAATAGTTTACCATTATCACTAAGGCATTGTCAGATCCTGCTTTTACCGCTTACGTTAGCAGAGCGCATAGCATTTTTTTCATAGATCAAAGAGCTAAGTTTAGCTCACTTCCCTACTTTCTAGTAAGAACTCTTGACTTCTAAAAAATTAACTTGTAAACCAAGACCAACCTCTACTGCTTTTGGAAAGGGAATTTGAATTTATTCTTGTTGCTAAATGAATGTAATAGCAGTTTACTAGCTAGCTCAACATTTAATGTAATGATTAGAAGCTGCTAGCTGAAGGAATACAAAGCAACTAATATAAAGCTGAAGGAACAAAATGTGTGAATAACTTAAAGCAAAGGTACAATGACCAAAAATAAATGGTGTACAAGAGTATAGAATTGTTTCACCAATATAACACCTTTAAGGCAAAAAGTTTTCCAACCCATTTGTGTTGAACAAGCTGTACTACACCCCCACTTCCCTTCCCGATGACTTTCACAGTCTCAAGGTCCTCCAATGAGAAATCGGCATCCAACTCCTTACTGTCTGAAGTCTGTTCAAACAAAATTAGAGAAAGGAAAAAGTGATTTTAATGCATCAAGGAACCAAGATTGGAGCAACGGTAGAATCCTGCATCTACCGCAAATGTAAACCACACAGTTAGTTACGTTAGGCGAGTTTTCACATATTCAGATAGCAAATTGATATACCTCAACCACTTAAAAGTAGGACTTTTAAAGTAAATTCATCATCGGTGTGTGAACTAAAGGAAATTACCTGCGCTTCTTTCTCTTCGGATATGAGCCGCAAACCTTTCTGGTTCAATAGCAGATTGCCGTCGTGAAATGTTCCACTCGCAGTCCTGAAGTTTAACAAAATCAGAAAACGCATGTAGAGGAGATTTGTTTTTTTGTGACTATTGCTGATGAAACGGAAACTGGGAAAAAGGATAACGAAAACGGAAGAAGAGAAGAGATTGAACAGATCATGCCTTAATCCTTCCTGAAATTTGAAATGCTAGAAATGGAAAGTACATAAGTGAAGCCAGTTCTTGGAATTTATTCGGTCAACAACAGGTAAGTTCATCAAACTTCCAAATATATTTTTCATCTTTGCAGCGTTAATTGACAAGAAAATACAAACACAAGTAAATCGAAGCTCCATTGGAAAACACAGGATAGCGTATTTTCACAGAATCAAACAAAAAGCGGATATTATGAAACGAAACGAAATAAACACAAAGTAGAACACTGAAACCAAGAAGCGTTCAGAATGAAGCCGGAAATAAAAGAAAAGTGATGTTAACATACAGGAAAGAATGGATATTAGCTTCTTGAGCAGGAACAGATAGCTTGAGCTGCTTCAATGGCGTCTTGGTCTTCATCTTTTCACGAAACGGTGATTTTATCAACTTCCTAGGGTTCCAATAAAGAGGAACTGAAAGAGAGAAGAGAGTGGAAGAAGAAAATGAGTGGAGAAATGTGGGAGTGAGATTCTTCCCCTTTTTTCTGGTGAGGATTGGGGAAGGGGACGATACGATCTACTTCGTTAAAGCAAAAAATAAAGAAATAAATAAATTTGAAACATTGAGGAGCGCGTAAATATTATAGACGTTACGGCAACGGGTGTAAAAGCATCAAACCGGATCGGTTCGAAGATTTTGATCGTATTGGGAAAACCAAATCGGCTCATCGGTTTGAAACTTGGAAACAGAAGGCGTAGGCCTGAAATGTAAATCTTGGGAAAAGGTAGCAGAATTGCGCAAACGGACGGTTGTGATTCGCTTGTGGCAACAGCTGACAACAACGACTGCGGTTTGCTGGTGGCGGCGGCTTGACTAGTGGCTAACTGGCTAGGGCCGAGTCAGAGTGGGAGGTATTGAAAAAGCCCTAAACTAAGAGAAAAGAAAGAAGACCCAAAACATACTTCATAATGAAAATAAAATTTAAAATCATGAGTTTGAATACTCATTTTAATTCTCAAAAAATAATAAAAGAAACCCACAATCAAACTGAACCTAGGAAAGAATATATATTTAAATGGTTCAGTTCAATTTAAATTCGATTTTCAAATTTTAAATCAGAACCGAATCGATTATATTCAATTTTATAAATATATCAAACCAAATTGAATAGTATATTGACTAAATTGAAAAAATTAGTTCAATTCGAATATGTTTATCAATTGTAGCGATTTTATTGATTCTGTTGTACACCCCTAGTTGCTAGGGTTAGATCAATTGGTAATAACTTTTTAAAATTAGGGTTAGATCAGTTGGTAAGAATTTTTCAAAATGTCATTTGATTCATTAATGAGGGTGAAGCAGATTTTTGTTTTTTTAAATAAAAATAAAAGGGACATATATTAATATATAAAAATAAAATAATTAGAAAAATATTAATTCGACAACCAAATTGAATCAATCGATTTGATTCCATTTCACACCCCTACTAAATGTTACAGTTTGTGAAGAAGATTCTTTACCCAACATTTTTGTTTGATACCAACGAGCATTTGTAAAACAATCATTCTAAAAATTATGCAGCAGTGAGTTTTAATTTTTGACACAAGGTGATTGTACATTAAGGTGATTATTAAATGTGAAAAACCATATTTGAGTCACTTGTAATCAGGCTTCTCCAACTCCAGATCATGACAAGTTTGAAAAACTTGAAACCAAACTCGAGTAATCATGTGAAAAAATTAATGTCAATCTCCTGTTAGGCCTTATTCAAACTCAACTTTGGGGGGTTTGTTGATACATCATCTTCCTTAGTTGCAGCATCACGGCACTTGTCTTGATGGTGGTTGGTTTAATTGACAACTACTTGCTGTTCTGTTCACTTCTATGTAGGGGTCCTCCAATGTCCAATCCACTTTAAAAATGGCTATCTGACCCACTGTTTTATTTATCGCACAAACAAATATCATTCTTGCAGACTAACAATAAAAAATTGCTCCTCCTAAAACTCCTTCAAGTGCCCCACTTTTGAACTTGGTGGAGACCTACTTCATTGAACAAAAGTAAATTCATTCTTGTGCACCACTTTTGGCCCTAAGAATCTTATGCATCCATCCTATAAGGCAACTCAATGGCAGTGTGACAAACACATTAAGTACGTATGTCTATTGTCTATTCACAAACATCCACATACTTCATATAAATAGTATCCTCGATTCGATCCGATACCTGCCTTTCAGTTATTACTTTTCATATTTATTTCTAACAGTTGAGTTTGATAACATCTTCCTACCAAATAAAATCTAGAACAATTAGTACCTCACAGTTCTTGGTTGGCAGCTCCGTACACCTGCCTGTGGCATTCTGTGAATCTGTGATAGAGAATATTGAGTACATCTATAGAAAATTTTAGCTGTTTTAGTTAGCAGTAATTCCACAATTGGAGCAGAAACAGAGTGGAGCTGTAAATGAATGATCTACCTATTACAGTAACATCCTTTGCAAGCAGGTTGAATTAAAGACCATTAAGAAGATCACAATTATTGGAGTTACTTTGGCTGCCATGCCAGAGATTGAAAAGCAACCACCGAGTAGTACAAAAGTAATTACGAAGAAAACGCAAGGAAAGGAAATTATGAATTATCTAGCGCAAGAGCGACTGAAATGTCCGAAATAGCCCACATTTGCATAAGAGAAACTATATCTCCTCATGTTATACAGGAGCCTGCTGCAAAAATCAACAGATAAAATAGAAGAGTATTTATAAAATTATGCTGATTGGTTTACCACATCCATTTGATGAAGTCACTGTAAGTACGACATCGACCTCACTTGAAAATCACCACAATATTTCAAGGAAAAAAAAAAGTGAAAGAAACAACACTAGTAACGACAACATAAGCATCAATCCTCAAGCATCAAACCCATTTCCACTCAAGAGTCCATAGACTTATACAAGCAATACGGTTCCCCTGCAATTAACAATCCAAAAGATTGGATCAGGGGGTGCAAAAAAATAAAAAGAACAAAGTTTGATGAAGTGTAAAGGTAGAAAAAATACCAATAAATTAGAGACCCTGATCGATGAGATAATCCCCCAGCCTTTCAACAATCATATTGCACTGACCAGGAGTCATTGGTTCATCATAGATGCCAATGATTAGAGCCATAGAAGTCTTCTTAACAGTGACCCCACCTGGGCCCTGAAATCAAGAGTTAAATGGTTCAAAATACAATGGAAAGGAGAATATTAATTTGCCTTATTAAACATCAAAGATGTCTCCAACAATGGAACAGTGCACCAGCGCCTAAGAGTTATTATAAAAGATTATGCTGCAGAATGCAATACACAGTGATTTTACAAACTTTTAACAATTGTGACTATCATGACTGACCAATAGAGGACTAATATATGATTAATTTCTCATCATATTCAGACGCAACTAATAAAGTTATTTTTAGAAAATTTACAAAATATATGGTTTGCATGCTCATCTCTCAGAGTCACAACTCACAACAGAAAGTTATAATTGTACTATAGGAGTTTATCACCTTCTTCCCACGAATAACAGCTCCTGGCTCCCCTTGGATTACCATATATTTTGCACCACCAAGGTACAAACCAGTTGGAGCAAGCGTTCCCGGTTCGCTAAAGTCATTCATGATGGCACTGATTTCTTCAGGCTTGAACTGCAAAACAAAAACAAGAACATGCATTAAGGACCGTAATGAAGTTGACAGGAAACCAGGAATGTTAGGTGGACCAACATCCTTGACTTGTAAAAATTCAATTGAAGATATAATGTGATATCGATCACCAACACGGACAAAAGAGAGATGTTAACATAACAACAGATTGACAAATTCTTTCTAACGAATTAATTTCTCTTCACAAACCGAAGGTCTTATCTCTCAGTACAACATCTTGATCATTTCATAACTAATAAAATATGTGAGAAGAAATTCGAAATAAATCTAGAAGCCTAGATGACGGTAATCGGCAACGCCAGATCTTCACCCCCTCGTGCTCGGTCGCTATATCAAATCGACATAAACAAAAAAGAATAACAGATTCGAATTTCAGTCATCTAATAAAACTGCATAGAATGAAAAAAGTCGATTTAAAAAGAATAGAGATTCCCGATTGAGTCGAAGAAATTGGACGGAAATAAGTAATGCATAGACTTAAAAAATTTATAGAAAATGAAATGGTTGGCAATCAGATCAAAACAACCACGATAAAATCCATCATCGTCGTGTACTCCAACACAAGATCTTGAATTAAAAAATCAGACAGATCCAGCCATCGATTTCAGCAATCAAATCAGAACTCGGATTTAAAATTTTCGGAGAAAGAGAGAGAAGCAAGAGAGTAAACCGGAGGGAAAGCGGCGCTTTGGGCCCAAACGCTGCCGTCATGGCCGATAATGGCCGAAGATGTGAGGTGATTGCCCTCAATTTCGCACATCAGATGATCATCAACGTAAACTTGCCACGACATCTTTCTCCGCTTCTTCTTCTTTGGATCCTCCTTCCTTCTGCTTCTTGCTGTTCTTCTTCTGGTTCGATCTTCTTAGGGTTTTTTCTTCTTTTTGCGTTGCCGGGAGAAAATCGGCGAGAGAGGATGGGAATTTATTTCCGCTGACGAAATGAGCTCCAAATGATTCTCTGCTCTTCTTACAACGCAGTCTCGCCCCGAGATAGCGTTGATGTCACGCAGTTATAATTATTTTTTCCCAAAATAATTGCGATCCCTCAATTTTGAAATTACCAAAATACCCCCCATTTTTTTCTTTTTGCAAATCGTATTGTGTGGGCCTACAAAGCCCATGGTGCCTGTTCCTCTCCTCTCTCCCTTCACTTTTTCTTCTCTTTTAATTTTAAAATGGTAGATATTATTAAGCCAGCTCAACCCGGCATGTCATATTGTAATATAAACAAATAAAAGAAAGGAAAAAAAAAACCCTACATGATCTTAATATTAAAATTTCTAATTATTCTTGTAAAAAAATCTAATCATTTCATCAATATATAATTCTCTTTCAAAAATAATTATAATATCAATATTAATGATAAAAGTTCAACCATGTTTAGACATCTATCATTTCTAATATCACGTCGTAATTTTGAATCTCTACCATTTATTTGTGATCGACAAAATTTAATATGACTTAAATGAGGGGATAAAAAAAATAAATCATCTTTTTAAATTAAAAAAAGTATAGAGAATAATTTAATGGGGTTTGAATATTTAATTAAAGGGCTCTAATTTCCAACCCATCACTTTCTATAGGGGGAAACTTGCCCTGGATATTCTTTTGTGGATTGTGATGCTACCTTGAAAAAATATTTGGTCCAAAATAAAAAGGAGAGAGAGACATCCTCTTTAAGCAATAATTCAAAAGAAACCCTTTTCAAAAGCAAGGAATCTCTACTATGAGGAGTTTCTTTTGATAAATTTGAATCACAATGCTTTCATTCTTACGTTATCGGTAAGGAAGCAAGTATTTTGCTGAACATCGTCAAATTTTTAATAAATAAAAAGAGAGAAAAAAATACATAAATTTTTGTGTATATTTTTCAAAAAATTAAAAAACTATCAAATTGATAGAATGAGTAATACAAAAAATTTTAGTTGATTTCAAATTGTTTGTACCAATCAAATAGACAACCCTTTTCCTTTCCATGCTACTTTATTTTCTTCTCATTTCAAAAGTACAAACTTTGCTTTATTTGGAGTAATTAAAAAAAATATACACATATAAAATAATAATAAAACTAGTTTTTTTAGTACAATAACTGGGAGTAGAAATTCGAACAATTGGCTCAGATTGTCTACATACTTTTTAATATATGGTAAACCCAACCTATTTAATATAATAAAAATAAAACACATCATGAGTTAGACCTATTTGGACATTTCAATGCCAAACCATACAAAAAAGAGTCCTAATCTTTCAATAATCTTTTTCTTTTATTATAAGAAGGCCCCTGTTTTCTGAAAGAGATTTAATCTTATCTGTTGACTACAAAGTTACAACCATCACACTGTGAATGAAGAAAAAATAAATCAAGGGATATCATTTTCTGACCTGTCCAAATCAAGAGCATTGACCACACCACATCACCTGTATGCAATTCACTTGGATATAATATAAACAATCTTCATCAAGTAAGAGAAGGATATTGCTTAAAATGGGAGAAAATACTCAGAAAAATTCAGATATTTTATGAAAATTAATCAAAAGCCAAGCATCAAACAACTGTTTATATCTTTCAGAAGGTTATTGTCTGCAATAACTTCTCTCTGCCAATTTTGAGGCTCTAGAATGAAGCATATGCAAACTGGGAACCAAACAAACACAAAAAAGAAAAGAAAAAAAAAATCTGAAAAAGAATAATTGTAGGCCAAAATTCGATACTGGGAACCCTGATGGACTTGATTAAAAGCCTAGAGACCCTGATCGACGAGGTAATCCCCCAGCCTCTCAACGACCATGTTGCACTGTCCTGGAGTAACAGGTTCTTCGTAAATTCCAAAAACTAGAGCTTGACCAGTCTTCTTTATGGTAATTCCTCCAGACCCCTGCCACAACAATCCAATAGAACACACTTTAGCCCATTGTGAATCATAATATCTCGTAAAGAGACAGAAATTTAATATGATTTTTACAATGGAACAGCCCTATGAATTCCCAAAACCGAATTTCATTTCTTTGTAGGATGATCAGAGGGAAATGAATCAAAGTTATGGTTGTCACTTTTGAACCTTAGAAATCCTCGAGGTGTCAACAATTATTACAAATCAACATGTTTAACACAAAATCTAATTATGGTATCGATTCGTATAATGTAGGTATTAATAGATGTATTTCGTGATAGTTACAGTGGAAACGTTTCAACATGACTAACTTACCACAGGAGGAAAAGGGACAACATCTGAACCTTATGCAGAGAATAAGACAAGGAATCAATAATCCAAGAACTTGCAGATTTCAGGATGTTTTACATCACCTTTTTTCCACGGATGACCGCTCCAGGCTCTCCTTGGATTACCATGTACTTTGTACCTCCAAGGTGTAATCCAGTAGGTGCAAGATGACCCGGTTCATCAAAATCCTTCATGATACCAGTGATCTCCTGAGGCTTGAACTGCAATTGGGATTCCATGTCAAGAAAATCAATCAGAATCCTCTTTGGATCAACATTTAATGATTTAAATAACGATACACATTAACAACCTTTGATCCATCATTTAAATGATTAACATTATCCTCCCTATTAACGACACAAATTCCATTACTACAGAGGGAAGAAAACTATGAATAGCTTAAGTTCCTTCTCCATCCAAAATTAGGCTCTATCAATCGAAAACCAGATCAAGACGTATGAAACACGACGACCGGATTAGGATACACAAATAACCGATAAATAAATACATCGTTCTTCCATAAAAAAAAAAAAGATCAAAGATCACGACGCTCTAATCAAAATCAGAAATAACGAATTTACGCCCTAAACTGCAATATGCTAAAATCATCCAATCCATAAGCCGAGGACGACTCACAGCCGCCTAAACAGAGTAAGCCAACTAAATCCGGAAATCAATCAGAAAAAGAAAGGAGGATGAAAACCTGAGGAAATGAAGAGCTCTGAGCCCAGACGCTGCCATCATGGCCGACAATGGCAGAGGCGGTGAGGTGCTGGCCTTGGCCATCGATGTCGCACATCAAATGGTCATCCACATACGTTTGCCACGACATTTTTCTCTGGGAATTGAATCGCAGTTCGCGTCTGTTCTTCGCGGATTGTTGAGTTTCTTCTTCCTTTTTCTTCTTCTGGTGAGGGAGGAAGCGCGGTTCGTTCTTTCGATTTGCTGAGTAAAATGGAAATAATAAATAGGGCAAGAGAGAAAGGCGGGAATATATTTTTATTTTCTTTTCTTAATTAAATAAGTATTTAGTTCCTATTCAAAGGGCCAGATAGAACCACATATAAATTCCAATAGACCAGGTTTTTCGTCCCTTCGAAATAGGAGAGCTGTTATAATCTATAGGTTAATTTCCTTTTTTCTTTTGTCAAAATAATGTTCTTTTTTATTTTTTTTATTTTCAAATTAGAGATGTAAAGTCAGTTACGACACCAAACCAATTTATTAGTATAAGAAAAAAAATAAATAAGAAAATATATTTGAAATTGATTTTGTGAAAATTTAAGTTACTAATACAGACAAAATATATCTAGACCAAACTAATTCGACAGATAAAAACAATTTAATCGATATACATTAGTCAATTTGACCCAACCAAGATTCTATCAATTACAAACAATATCTCAACTGATATTATATAGTCCCAATTACAATATAGGTTGATGGTCTATAATTTCTTTATTGATTTTTGGTGATCGACTTGGATATAGACAATTGTAAACTTTTTTTCTTTCTTGATTCAATACGTAGAGATGAAGATTCGAGCTTTCAACATTTTTAATCAATTGATATATATATATTAACCAGTTCAACGAGGTTAAAAGTGATCTGGTTTAAACAAAAGTGTGGTCAAGTATTATTGTCCAACATGTTTGTTGGGCTATGTGCAGTGGAGTGATTATGGGCCTGGGCCAGCCAGATTCCATTTAATTAGTAGTCTCATTTAGCTTTTTGGCCCAACAAGGAGGCCCATTTTATCTTTCCCTGTTGCCGTCTACTTAGAGGACTCTAGGGCAGGGGATAAGGTAGTTTCTGGAAATCATATATGTTCTTGGTAAATTTTTAGTTCAATTTACTTGTTTTTTTTTTAAAAACAAATTTACGTGTTGAATTGGTGTTTATATTATTAAATCTTATGTCATTGTTACTACCTTTTGATTTTTTTTTTCAATACAACATATGAATGGAGATTCGAACTCACGACCCGAAAACAAGTACCTTAATTAATTGAGCTATACTCAAGCTCGCAGATAGTTCATTGATGGTATAGGAGAAAAATGATCATGAATTATGAAGCAGAAGAAATTTAAAACTTTAAATCCTAATTATATTTTATTTTGCCACATCTTCTATCATTACATTACATTTTCCTTACTTAGAGATATTTAAATTCTTGTTACATGTACCTCCCTAATATTTTATTGGGAATTAAATATATATCTCTAATATTTTATTTTCTCTTGATATGTCAACATTTCTATGTGTCTATGAATTTGACAGCAACATGAGGCATAAATCAATATTCAATAGTAATTACAAAAAAAATGATAAAATACGAAATAATATCAACAAAATATCACATATATTTTTGACAGCAACATGAGGCATAAATCAATATTCTATAGTAATTACAAAAAAAAAAAGATAGAATACGAAATAATATCAACAAAATATCACATATATTGACATTTTTATATCATTTTCAAAAACATTTTTTTTTAAATTGAAGTGAACGAGAGAAGCTATTGAGAGAGTACCAAATGCTGATAGTGACGAAGGTAACCTACTTTCGGTGGATGCGGAGCCAACGAGTTCAGTTGAACAGCGTAATGAGTCTAAGGTTACAGAAGTGTTCGCCAACTTTACATTAATATTTAAACATTGATTATCACTCCTAGTTAAAATAAACTATTTAAATATAAAATGTGGCTGCTGGGATTCGAGCCCAGGTCTCCACGGTCACAACGTGGAATTCTTACCACTAAACTACAGCCACCGATTTGTTTACTAAGCCATCATTAAACTTCTCATATCTTTTTTTGATGTCCTTAGTGTTGGCCCACTTTAGTGTAGCTTTGATCGGCCTAACATACACTCTGACGTGGCTTGTCTCCCTTCTAACTGTCAAACTTTTTTGGTTGATTAATTCAAATTTCTTTCTTTTTTTTTTCTTTTTTTCTAAAGCAAATCCATAGGTAATCTATTTTCTCCCTTTTTTTCCTTTGTTTGTTTTGCGATTTTCTTTTCAAATAATAAAACATAAATTCTTTACTAACCGCTTGAATTTTATGCTATTTGTCTTTGTAACAAAAAAAAAAATTTTAGTCATGTAAAATTAAGTGCAAGATTTATCAAAGTCATGCTAATTACCAATGCTAATTACCAAATCACGTGATTGTATATAAAGACTTTCATTTAAAAATAAAAAACTGTACACTAATGGAAAAAGTTCTTAGAAAAATTAAAATTAAGATTATGTATTTGATGGAAAAAGTCTCCATTCAATGAAAAAATCTTTAACGAAAAGACATTTATATCTTACTGTATATTTATTAGTTGAAAGTTTGAGAGTCTTTTCAAATTACTTAAAATGTTGATTAACTATCATACTGATATATTATTGATCAGCTAAAATCAAAATAATAATTACAAATTTATTCGCCACTTATATTTTGCTACTTTTGCAGAAACTTATTCTAGTGGTTACTTTCAAAAAAAATTATTTCAATTATTTTGTAAATACTTCTACTAATAGTATAGTTTGAAAATTTGTTACTGATAGGATCGTTGAAAACCTGAGTGAAGGCACGTGTACAGCACGCTCCAAAAGTACCCTCCCAGGCTGGCGTGGGGCCCAGCAGGGCAATGGGGGAATTGGACAAAAATACAACCAATTGATATTGTCTTGTTTTCATAATATTAAACCAACATTGATTTTTACTTTGGGATTTAGATTCTCCCTTTTTACTGTCTACTATGTGGCTCTTTGTTGAGTCGGTTGTTTTATTTTTGGTTAATTGTTTATATAATTGTTATGATTGTCATTAGGATAATCTAACCCTTTTTCATTCTTGGCAAAAACAAATAAATAAGAAAAACATGATCGAGGTTTATAAAGGTAAAAATAAAGAATATTCAAGTTATTTGTCTCTATAATTATTGTTCTCATATTTTGATTAGAGTTTACCCTATGCCTTTTGTTGTTCAATAAAAAATAACAAAAATCTAGCTTGATAAGTTATTTGTGATGATAAGTTTCAGTATGAGAGATGATTTTTCATATAAGTGATCGTGTTCATTAAAGTCTTATCATTCCTTCGTCTTGAATCAGTGCTACAACAATTTCAAATCCAACAGTTGTTAACTTAAGAGACATTGAGTTTGACAAAAATGATTTTTTTTTCATTTCCGTTTTAGGAATGTAATTTTATTGAGAGTGATTCCGAGTATGTCCAGAGAGAACTCATGCTTCTCCTACTTAGTTATCCAATTTAATTAATCCCAGACAGAATGAAAGCATCTTTTTATATTTGGATGGTATATTAGGGGTGTGTAATCAATAAAGTTGATATGGAACTGTAAAACAATTAATTTGTTGCTGAATTTTGAAAGAATTGATGACATGGACCCCCTTAATGATGTCTAGTTGAGTTGGAACACTAGGTCAAGCTAGAGGGAAATAATGGATGAGGGAAGCCATTAAAAGATGTGTTAATTGATGAGTAAAAATTGGACATTCAAATTTCCCCTTATAGGTTTAAGTCTTCCCAAATCTACTTTAAGAACTTTCCTATATTTATCTTATTTTACTTTCTAACTTTCAAACATTTATAGTCTTTGAGTTTTATATAAAAAGTTATTTTTAATTTTTACCATTAACTTTTAATATAAACTCAACATACATTTATGTGATGAATATAGATGTCTATGTAAACAAATATTTGAGGTAAAATATTGATGTCAAGTTTTAGAGCAAATCCAAATTTATGATAAATAAATTTGTATACAAAGTTTAAAGTTCAAAACGTAACATATGAAAGTTTGAGAACTAAATAGAACACTCAAAATTTTATAGACCTAAAACACCAAGCATAAAAGTTCGTGATTTAAATTTTTACTCTATGAAAAATGCAAATTAGAATCACTCTTGAGTTATAGAGGTTATTACTATCATACCAATAAACTTTGAATGCCAAAAGATACACTTATATATCTTCGATCAAAAGGTCATGAGTTATAATCTTTACTCCTATATGTTGTATTTAAAAAATAATAATGACCAATGAACTTCAAATTTAATAAATTACTTATTCCCACCTCTCCCAATTCTTGTAATTAAAAAGAAAGTGTCGTAAACAAACACAAGACACATGAGGTTTTTTTTTCTTCGATTAGATAAGATCGGGCGTTACAACTTACAACCACCAACCTAGAAATAGTTGTTCAATTAACAAAGTCGAGTTGATTTAAAATTTCCATCTCGAGCACAAATTCCTTAAACTTAGGGTTAGGTCAATGAAATTAAAGAAAAGGTCCCAAAAAGAAAATGGGAGGGACCCGCAAAGGGGAGGAATGGCAAGGCTAAATGTTTGGTAGCGTGGGGATGCAACAAACATTATTGTTTTTGAGCTTTGAATGAATGAATGAATGAGAAATGTAAACAAATAAAGGAAGGTAGAGAAGTACAAGGCTTGTTCCCCACGCCCATTGCTAATAACTAAGGTCCCCCTACCCCCCCTCACCCACATTTAAAGCCCTTCACTATTCCCTTTTCTATCTTTCTTTCTTCTTTTTCTTTTTTTAAATATTGATGAAATTAATTAATTTCACGGGACCTAAATAATTTAGTCAAATAACGTATCCCTGAGGCCCATGAGTTTGATGGGCGATAGGGTTACTATCACATCGTTCAAATAAATAGGTTTTGATTTTTATTCGAATCTTCGGAGTTATTGGTATTGATTTTGCTGCTTTTTTTTTTTCAGTTAAGAGTTGGTAAGAGGATAAATAAAATAACATTTCTATATTTTTTGTAGTACAATAGTACGTGAGGATGAGAGTTCGAACTTATTAAGGATTCCACGTTGAAAAGAAAATAGATCTTATAATGGTTTATAATATAGATATGGGCTACTCATTGCTAATTGGTTTTGAGATTGAACCCCATCAATATTGATATGGTATTAAAGCCCAACAGGCTCAAACAAGCATCCGGTCCAAACATATGGGATCCAGCCAAAATCAATGAGCAAAAAGAGTCACGATGTTGAGGAGGCATGTTAAGGATCCCACATTAAATTTGAATTTCTATAAAATGTTAGGAAATTATACTAAATCACATAAAATAAGTATGCATTTATAAATATATTATATTTTTTGTTTTTTTTCTAAATGTCACAAAAGTATTTTTTTTAGTTGATCTCATATAATTGTATAGGTTTCCAATTTATGACATTTTTGTAAAATTTTAAACCTAATGCTAGATATAAAATATATATTCCTTTTTTACTATTTTGTAATTCCATCTAAAATGTTTGACATTATTTTATAAAAATTTAGGACAATGAAAGGTAACTTTTAAAATATTAGGAACAAATTTGAATTCGTTCAGCATTTCTCATTTGGTAAAGTAGTTTATATTCTCTAATTATATATAAATGTATTTTCCTACTAAAGTTGGAAAAATTATATATAAATATATATGAAGAAACATAAGATATACCCAAGTCCCTTAAACATTTTCATTTAATTAATGTTAAAAAAAATAGCGCCGTCAAACACAGCCGTCCAAATCGGCGATCACGATCTAGAAGACGCACCGAATGCCACGTCATAATTTCCATAACAACCTGATTTTTTTTTCTTTTTTAATCTGAAGATTGGAATCACATGCAAATTTTTTAACCCAATCAAGCGCCATATTGGCGTCATTCGACAACATGGTTACAGCTTTAATCCAGCTGTCTGTCCCTACCCATGGGACCCACTTTCCTCTCCAGCAATGAGAATTCGTTATATGCTGACTTGGATATTTATTATTGGATTAGAACGTTTAAATAACATAGATCATAATATACATCTAATTTCATTATTCATTTAAGTCCTCTCTTAATTATAATGATAACAATATGATAGAATTAAGGACAGCATATTCCTTAACCTTTCCTAACCATTTCAAGATTTAAATATTTTTCATATTTACAGTGAGTGAAAAATTCGAAAAAGTAAAATCCTAACCACAAATTATTTATTCACGTGAATTCAATATCACAAAACAAATATGAAAGCCAAAACCAACCTAACGTAAGTGACATATATGTTCAACTAAGAGGTTGTGATTCAATCCTCCACCTAAAACAAAAACAAGGCATCCACTCCTCGAGTAAAACTTATAAATATTTTAATTTTTTTTTAATGAAAGCTTTCTCATTCCAACTGTGTTGCTTACGTTAAATTTGACTTAATTAGTACCACTTCAAAAATATTGTATCACAAATATTTTATAAAAATATAGAATTGAGTCTATTTCTTCTAAAGATATGATTCGACTAGTGTAATTATTTTAAAATTCTAATTTCTTTTGCTCAATGTCAAAGATATACACTCCAAATTTCAAAAAAAAAAAAAAAGAAATTACTTTTGATTATATTAGAATCTGTGTGATGTTAATAAATGAGAAATTATTGTTGGTTATAAGTATTTAGTAAACAATATTTCGGTACATTGAAAAGTCAAGAGGAGCTCATTCTCTATCTGTCATGAGAGAGAGAAACAGAATAAAGAGCAAAACCTTCAATCCAGCCATGGCCGACAATCCTCACTAGAAAAAAACGCCCAACTTAAATGTTCTTCGCCAATCTTTCTTCTTTCTTACTCCACATTCCCGCCGCCGCCAAATTTTCCGATGGATCCGTGCCCCTTCGTCCGGCTGATGGTCGAATCGCTCGCTCTCAACCTCCCTCAGGCCACCCGCCCCGCCGGGGCCGCCGTCCACCCCTCCGCCACGCCCTGCTTCTGCAAGATCGCGATCAAGAATTTCCCCTCCCAAACGGCGCTTCTTCCGCTTTCCTCAATTTCCGGCGACTCACCTCCGGACTCCGCCGCGTCGTCCTCCGGCTTCCACCTGGACCCGTCGTCTCTCCGTCGCCTCTCTGGCAAGCCTCTCGTGATGTGTCTCTCGGTTTTCGCGGGGCGGATGGGGCACACGTGCGGGGTGAATTCTGGCAAGTTCCTCGGCCGGGTTCGGATCACGGTGGCTCTCGACGGCGCTGACAGTAGACCCAGAGTATTCCACAACGGGTGGGTTAAATTGGGGAAAGAAGAGGATAAAATCTCGGCCCGCCTCCACTTGGTTGTCCGGTCCGAACCCGACCCGCGCTTCGTTTTCCAGTTCGGTGGAGAACCGGAATGTAGCCCGGTGGTTTTCCAGATCCAAGGCAATATCCGGCAACCGGTTTTCAGCTGCAAGTTCAGTGCCGATCGGAATTCGAGGACCCGGTAAGTTTCCACTTTTCCGACCCACCCACCCGTTTAATTAAAAACAAAATAATTTACTTATTAATAATTAGAAATTTAACTATTAACTTTTAGACCAGAGATAATTTTTCCTATTCAATTATGGATTGAGGACCAGTGTGTTTTCTCATCTCATTCTGATCTCATTTGTTATACTAATCATTTGTTATACTAAAAAAATTCTATTAGTAGTTTCTGACGGTTAAAAATAAACTTAGCTAGAAAGTTAACTAGGACTAACTGCGAGTTTGTATTAATTTTCTTAATTAATTTATAATTTGCATCACGCTTGGTTTTTTACTTTTCCAGTATTTTAGGTTTTTTTTTTAAAAATACATTTGTCATAGTAGGAGTGGGCCTTCATGAAAGTGGGTTGTCGATCTAAATTATAACGTAACCATTTAGAATGAACAATGTCACTGTCGCTTTTATTAATTTTTAACTCTTTCCCTAACTAATGATGTGTCATTTGGGTTCTTTTATAAAAACAGAAGGAAAATAAAACACTAGGAGATGTTTTCTTCTTTAGAATAAACATGCTAAATCTTTGATTGATACATCACATATCAATTAATGGATTTTAGGGCTTATATTAAACACTTAATTTTAAACTCAACAATAAAAGAAAAGAAAAAAAGATGATTTTGTTTAGCTTGGTTTATATATTCAATGTGAACTAATTGACATTTATTGATTACATTAATTGAAGCGACTGGATTACGATCAATTTCTTACCCTTGGAGTTCATCATTATTTGTATATTAAAAAGTAGAAATATTATATATCAAAACAACCCTAAAAAATAATAGCCATTTTTAATAATTTCAGGTTGGTCAAATACAAAAAAGAAGTTAAAAAAAAAAGATCATAAAATCTCCCATCTGTCTAACTCAACCACCTTTGATTCCCTCCCATGTGCATACCCTCTTTTATTATTGTTTTTTATCAAGTTAAGTATTGTTTAATTAATTATATATTTATTAGTTAAAAGTTCCACCATTTTATTCAAATTTCAATTATATCTTAAACATTTCGTATTTATTTTTACTTTAGTCACTACATTCTCTATAGTCTTTGAACTTTGCATTACACAATCATATTTTAATTTTTGTTATTGGTTTTTAAAATCTTTTAATAGAAACCTAACATGAACATGTTACACAAAAATGGTGTAAACAGGTCACTGCCGTCGGATTTCAGCTTCAACAGTACTAAAGGAAAATGGATGAGAACTTTTTCAGGGGAGAGAGAGAAGCCGGGGAGGGAGAGAAAGGGGTGGATGATCATGGTCTATGACCTCTCCGGCTCCCCCGTCGCGGCCGCCTCCATGATAACGCCGTTCGTCCCTTCCCCGGGCACCGACCGTGTCTCTCGCTCCAACCCTGGTGCTTGGCTCATCCTCCGCCCCCATGGCTTCTCCGTCAGCAGTTGGAAGCCATGGGGACGCCTCGAGGCTTGGCGCGAGCGGGGACCGATCGATGGCCTAGGCTACAAGTTCGAGCTCGTCGCCAACACTGGACTAGCCACTGGCATCGCCATCGCAGAAGCTACCATGAGCGTAAAAAAGGGTGGCCAATTTTGCATCGACAGTAGAACTATAAGAGATTTCAGTCCAAACTCTAGATCCAACATTAAAGGTAAACAATAATACATCATTAAGATTCATTCACAACATTAAATTTATTTTTAATAGGTATTTAAACTTTAAAAAAATATTTACAAGCACTCTAATTTTCAATTTTGTGTTCACTTAACTTTAAAAATATTTAATTTTTTTCTTTAAATTAATAAATCTATCAAATATTAAAATGAATGGTGTGTAATACTGAATAGATCAAGAACCCATATAGATCGGGTGGAACTCTCTAATTGAACTTTAATGAAGTATCGGGATTAGAAAACAACATTTAGTTTAGAATTCATTTATTCAGAGACCTATTAGACACGGAAGTTAATTAGATTTAGAATACTGACTTTTGACATTTGATTGGAAAAAAGTAGGGAACTTTGTAATGGCTTCGAGCGTGGAGGGAGAAGGGAAGGTGAGCAAGCCAATGGTAGAAGTGGGAGTTAAGCACGTGACATGCATGGCGGATGCTGCTTTATTTGTAGCTCTAGCAGCCGCCATTGATCTTAGCATGGACGCTTGCAGACACTTCACACAGAAGCTGAGAAGAGAACTCTGTCACGATGAACACGATTCAAGTTTTCTTTGAAATCCTATCAATTTTTTCCACAAAATTTCTCTACTTTTTTTAATTTCTTTGCAATGATAAACCAGTTTTTGGATTTGAGCAGAGAAACCATATATTTATGTAATCTTATTTCCATCCAATTTCCATTTCTTTTTCTTTCTTCTTCATTGATTCTTTAATTAAATTCCATCCGATCCCTTTTGTTCTTCCACATACAGTTTTCTTAGTCTTGGGTTGCGATTCAGAACCTCTCTCTGATCTCATGTGTAAGTTGGAATTTGACCGGACCAAAAAGTGTACAGATCACTGTCCTCGGAAATTTTGTGTTTAATATCTCTCTATTTTGTTGTTGTGATATAGAATTTGATTCATATGACTTATTTATTTATTGGAGTTGGGTTTGTCGCTTTAAATTTTAGTTGAGATGTTCAATATTTTTATCAAAGTTTTCATATGTCTATGAATCTAACATTGTTAAATGAATTAAAGTTTTCATTATATTTAAAAAGAATTGACAAAATATAAAAGTATTAATAATTTATTGCTTACATATTGTACATGAATTAGTAATAAAAATCTATAACTTATTTGAAAATCAGTGAAACATTTATTTGTTAATCTAGATTCTGCCAAATTCTATAAGACAAAACAATAGTTTAATTCAGTAAATTGACTCGTTAAATTATTGGGGAAATAAATGAAAATAATAAGAAATAAATTACATATATAAATATTAAAGGAATAAATCAATCCACGTAATTAGTTGAGAATACCAAAAAGTCAATTCTAAAATGTACATAGCGTCTTAAGTCGTTCCCCTTATTTACAGAGGTAGTCTATTAAAGTTGATTTGTGTAGATCGAATCAACTGGATTTGATCGGCTCGAGTTGGGTGGTCCAATTCATGACTCGACTCATGTGGCTTCCTTAACTTTACTCGGTGAATCTCGTAAGATAATTTTACACCTAGATTTTATATTACATTTGAATTTAATTTAGATCATACGAGTACTATTTTATCCTATTTAAATAAATATCTCGGGAAAGGCTTTTATTTGAAAGAGTCAATAGTCCCAATTTTTAGTAAAGTTGTTGAATATTTTCCCTTGGACACTAAAAGAAAATGGTTTTTGGGCTTGATGACCATTTTCTCATGGCCCAACTTGATTTTTTTGTCCATTTCTTTAAATATAAGTTTTCATTGCGTGCCATTGGTTAAATTATAATCCTTTTATTAAAAAAAAAAAAAGGTTTTCTATAGATGTTATCATACATGCCAAATTACTCTCTTTGTCCCTCTATTAACTTTATGCCCCAACCTAATCTTCCTCCATTTCTTTCTTCCTCTTCTTCGCTGACTCTCTCTCTCCGATTTCCACTTAATCTCGGTGCATATCATTTCCACTACAAGATTTTTTTGGATTTGTGGACATTTCTTTTGCCCAACGCCTTATTCTTTCTCCCGACGAACAAAAAATCGTCGGTAGATTTCTACTTCTCCCGATGAAATTTTAACGGCATTAGGACAAGTAAGTCTCTTCCTACATTTTTCTTGTGCGTCAGGAGAAAATATAGGACTCACAAGCTATAAGAGCATTGAGAGAAGTTTGACAATTTGGTACATGAGTCCTATTTTATCCCAACGTATAAGAGTCGATTATTTTGATACCGATAAAATTCCGTAAGGACGATTTTTTATCCTTCGGGAGAAAGATTTTGCCCAATGCCTTAGTGTACGTCATGCAAAAAAAGTATTGGCAAAGCCAAAAATTCGTATAGCGTTTTATTGAATACAATTTCCTCCATTGAAACGATGTTACTATCTCAGCTTTGGACATAGCCCTCACGACTTTGTTTTTTGTTTCATCCAAAATGTCCCATATCAATGGAGATAATTGTCCTCTCTTATATACCCATGATCATTCTCTTCTCCAGTCAATGTGGGATTTTGTTTCACTCCTTACAAACCCAACACCATTGTCAAAAACACTTTCTTTTCTATGGGTTATGTTTGACAAATTAAAAAAAAAATAATTTTAAAAAAGTTTAAATGTGTTTTTGGGAGGGATAGTAAGAGTGATTTTGAAAAAAAGAGATTTAAAAATAATTGATTTTTCAAAATCACCACTCAATAGCTTAAAAATCAATTTTAAGTGAAAGTAGCAAGAGAGGGAGGGAATAGAAATGGATTTGAATTTTTCAAAGTTAGAAGTTTAGGTCTGCAATTGTTTCATTTCTTAAAGTTTAAGGATTTAATTTTTATAATTGAAAGATTTTTAAGAGTTTAATTTTTACCATTGAAAATTTATAACAATAATTATAACAAATCCTTATATTTTAAGGTGGTTGATACAATTTACCGTAATATTTATAAGCTTAACAAAAACTAAAACAGTTTGGAATGGTTAAAAATAAAAGTCATGGATTTAATGACAACATTTGTACACTATTTTGTCGGATATAAAACAATCAGTTGAAGTTATTTAATTTTTCTTGTTCGAGATCTTTAATTAACCTGAACATATTTTAATTAATTAATCTCTAAGTAAAATGACATGACATTGAATCTCCCTGCCTAGTGTTCTGCCTAAAAGAAGGAAAATATTAAAATCTCACCCTCTCTCTGAACAATAATTTAATTTTGGCCATATATAGTTAAAATCTCTGCCTCTCTCTGAACAATAAATAATTCAAYTTTGGCGTTATATATATCTTGCACCCACTCCCAAAAACAAAAGCCGACGATTTTCAGCAACTTTTTCTTTAAATACATTTCCTTTTCCACAGGATTTACTATTTATAGTGGACGTGTCTTGTGAGGTTTGTTGGGAAGATTGCTTTTCTATGTCTTCTACATTATTTTCATAATTGTTTTTAAAATATTGTGACCAAATAAATTTTATATATATATTAGAACAAGCGTGATATCACTTTTATCAAAAGGGAAAAAAACAAGCGAGGAAATATGAGAAATTTGAAAATTTGACCCCTGGTACTCTCATGTTTCAAAATCAACATTCCTCTCTCCACAAGTCTTTTTTCAATATTTATTCCCTCCACAAATCTCTCACAATAATTAATTACAGCCATAAAAAATCTAACTTTTAAGAAAAATATCTAACTCAAATAGAAAATTAAAAGTTTAATATGAAAAAAATAAAAAACGTACATAATTACATAAGATTTGTGCGAATTTAATTATAAAAAAAAGTCAAAAGATTACAAAAATATCGGGTCAATATTGCATTAAATGCTCGAGATTAATTGATTAGTAAGAGGAGGGAGAATGAAAAAAAAAAAGAAATTTCAGTATTTTTTTATTTTTTATTTTTTATTTTTTGCATTATCCCCCTCTCTTAGCCCTTCCAATTTAATGCAATTTTTGCACCACATTTATGAAACCATAATTTTTTTGTAATTAAATCCGGACAAATCTTATGCATTTATTTTTGGATCATGCAAATTTTTTTTCACCCTAATTTACTTATTTGAGAATTTAATCTACAGATTTTTTTGTGTGGAATTGTTTGGTGGAAATTTTACTTAAAATAAACAAGGATATTTTGGAGGTATATGCCAATTACCGCTCAGCTCGCTTTGACTTTTGATGACGTAATTAAGAAAGTTGAATTTGTTAGCAAAATTGAGTGCTAATTAAAAATTTTAAAAGATTAAAGACTCGATTAAAAATTGCCATAAAAGTCAGCAAGTCGAAGGAAAAAGAAAAAGAAAAAAAATCACCCAAAATACCTCTCTAGCAGGAGTGGTCAGGCCCCATACTCGCCCCATTTCGATCCTTGTGTCTGCTAAATTTTTTCTCTCTCTATTTCACGGAGATCGGAGTGAAAAGGTCATTTTTTTAAGTAACATGTCGATTACCGTTGGGCTATGTTCGTTTTGGCACTGTTGAGCTATGTTCGCTTTGACTGGTGGAAAGATCATTTGGATCAGATTTTATATACAAAATTAACTTATTATTATTCTAATTAAATATTTTATTCATCGCTATAAATAATACTCATTTAAAGGAAAAATTATAAACTAATAAAAACAATATAATACTTAATCTTAGTCCATTTATCCCTGCGTAAATAAATACTAAAGTCTAAACGCCTAACATGATGGCCAAAGTTAAATTTTACAAAAATCACAAATGATTTGAAAATATATAAATTTTTAAGATAGGATTAATTTTTTTAATAAATAAATATATTTAGAAAAAAAGAGGAATGACACAATGTCCCCAATGTCCCCTCATTTAGGACGCCACTCCCAAGGAAAAATGGATGCCATCCTATTCTATTAGGAAAGATATCATCTCAAAATTTTCTAGGGATAGTTTGTGTCTAGTGAGACCACTTGATTAAATGAAGTTAATGGTCCATGGTACTGGAATAATTCATTTTTGGTCGATAGATATTGTAACAAGTATTTCTATGTTCGATTCTATAGATATTTTCTTTTTTTGTTCATATTCTGAATTGAGTTCGTTTTGGTAGTAATTTGATGAATTGGATTGTACTCCTTTCGATTCAAAATAACAAAAGAACCAGATAGTAGTAGGAGCCATAAAAAGGAAAGGGTTCGTGGGTCCCACCTAAATGGGACACGAAATCCCGTTTATATTCCCCGCGGGATGTGGATGGAGAAAGTGTTTTCCCGTCACCTAAACGGGTCGGGAGGGGGACGGGAAATACATTCATCAACCTAGTTCCCCGTTCCCCGCCCTACCGCATTTTAAAATAAATAAACAAATATATATACCTAAAAAAACACACATATAGGAGGATTATGAACATGTAAATAATGTTTTATCATTGAAAATTGAGTAATTAATTAAAATTTTATTTTAAAAATTATTTCTCGTGTTTGTCATTTGTTAAAAAAAAACAAAAAAACAAATAAATTTTGGAGGGGCACATCCGAATAAGGGATCCTAAAGATGTACTTTTCTTTTCGGTGATTCAATCCTAAGAACTTCAAAGTTAAACGTGCTTGACTTAGAATAATCTTGGATTGGACTTGTGTTGTTATATAGGAATAGTCTACACTCATCTAAGTGACTCTGGTACAATATCTTGGACCTGGGTGTTACACCGCCACTATCCCCATAAAATTTCGTAGAAATCTCAAATGAAAGTGAGAAATTTTTTGTGGAGAAAAAGAATTAAATGAGGGCAAGGCTTTCCTATCCTCGCCTCAGCGAACAATATAGATGTTGATATTTTTCCTATTTTAGGGTTTTTTTTTCCTCACAATACAATAGAGATGTTGATTTACTTATTATCCTTTGTATTGTTTTACTTCTTTCGTAAAAAATCTCAGGAAGAATTTGTGAATAGAAACCGAAACTCGTGAAAGGCGTGGAAGAAAAAAAAAAAAAAGAAAAGATAATAGATGTGACGTTGAAATTTTAGCCGTGCAGCGTCAGAGCTCCATAAATCCACCTTCTTCCTTGCTCCTTCAACGACGTTCCTCAACTCAACTTTCCGGCCATGGCTTCTTCCACCACCTCAGTTCTGTCTCTTCTTCTTTTAGTTTTTTGCACCGCTGCCGCCTCCTCCGCCGCGACCATCAGAATGTACCCGAAAGAGCACGTGGTGCTGCCGGACGGCGACCCGAGTTGCGAGAGCTGGAAGTTCGCCGTTGAAGTGAACGCCGCCGGAGCGTGGAACTCCGTGCCGCGGCCGTGCGTCCAGTTTGTCCGGGATTACTTTAACGGCGACCGTTACCTTTCGGACTCTGAGGCGGTGGCTGATTACTCCTTGAGCTTCGCCAATTCGCTGAATGTGGCCGGCGACGGCGGCAAGGACGCTTGGGTCTTCGACGTCGACGAGACCCTCCTTTCCAATTTACCTTACTATAGAACTCACGGGTTCGGGTAAGTAACTTTAACCTAGTAAGTAATGGGTAACATTTTAGTTTCTTGCATTTTATTTATTTAGGTTGGGTTGAATAAACTACCACCTACCCAAACTTAAACTGAGCAAGGTCGAACAAATGAAAATTGTTATAAACGGGGAAGAAACAAAAATACCGAGATTTCAAACACACCACCTTCCATTCTTATACTAGTTTAAGAATAAGAATGAACAACTTACAACTCAACCCATAAACTTAAAGTGATGGATTTGATAAATTTAATTGGATATCTAACAGTCTCAGCTTTCGGATTTGATCCTTTCAGATCGGAGCCGTACAATGACACTTCTTTCAACGAGTGGGTGAATGAGGGTGTGGCTCCGGCACTGCCGGCCAGTTTGAGGCTGTTCAATAAGGTGAAAGGTCTTGGAATAAAGATTTTTCTTCTAACTGGCCGACCTGAAGCTCAAAGAGCCATCACACAACAAAACCTCCTTGACGCAGGCTATTCTGGTTGGGAGAAGCTTATCCTCAGGTATGGAATCAACGACCCCTGTTTAGAATCGGTTCGATAACTTTCATGGTGGTTGTTTTTCGTTTCCTAATTTAGTCCCATTCCACCAAAGGAAATAATCACATTATTGATCATATAATATGTGAAAACTGATTTGGTTAAAATTGATGGAAACTAGGGGAGCTGATGATGAAGGAAAGAAAGCTATTGCATACAAATCAGAGAAGAGATCTGAATTGGAAGAAGAAGGTTACATAATCCAAGGAAGCTCTGGAGATCAATGGAGTGATTTGGTGGGCTATGCTCTCTCTAAGAGATCCTTCAAGCTCCCAAATCCAATGTATTACATTCCCTAAGCTTCTAATTGCCTGCCCTTAATCCTTCCTATGGCTATCAATAAATCTACTTTCGCTACGTTTTTCAAGTTGGTTTCTAATATTTTCAAAGTTTCAATTGGTTCATGTTTATTATTTCAAAAAAATTCGTTCAAATTATCTCTACTCGAGAAGGATGTTGGAATTGAATGACAAAATAGTGACACTTGCACGTAGTTGATAATTAAATTACAAAATATTGAAATATATATATACATTGAGAGATTAACACATCGAGTAATTACTCACTTATTGATTCAATTTGTTATTTGTGCAACTCTCAAGTAAAAAGATATTTATATGTACAAATGTTATATATTTTTATCAAATTCTTACTTATCGTTTGATTGCTTATTAAATATCCATATTAGGATTACTTAAGCCAACATAGAAAAGACTATTTACCTTTAAAAGTGGTAAATTTTTTGAATCAACTATTACGAAATGAATTGAATTTATAAATATGATAAATACATGAGTCTATTTAAGTTTGGAAGTTTTGAAAGGATAATAATGCACAATAGTTAGAAATTAGAATGCATGATTTTTACGAAAATATATTGACAATAACATTACAATAAACTGAAAGGGATACGCACTCACTCAATTATACTATAAACGTACATATTATTTTATCCTATAAAACTGTACATATTATTATTTGGAAAAAACTTCTCACTTCCTTCTTTTTTCCTATTCTTTGTCTACCTTTTTTCTCAATGCAGCATTGATATTTGGTCATCTAAAGCTAAAAGTTAAGGGAGAAAATAAATTTAACGACTTTAATCCAATATCCCAAAATTATTCAAATTACGTTGATTTACAAAAATGGCTATAAACATGCAGAAAGCCTCCATCTAAAATTAGAAGATAGTAAGACAATAAAAAAGAAATGTTATGTAATTTATGCAACTTCTCAACAGTCATTTAAAACTATGAAAAATAAAAATTAGATTATATATATATATATGTGTACACCTTTAATTGTGGATAAACATTGGTGGAGATTCATTTTTCATTGGATAAACTTAGTTACATCAAGTTTAAAAATGAAATGGAGATTGAAGAAAATAGAAAAAAAAAATGAGGTTACAAAAGTCGTCCAACCAACCTAAAAAAAGAATTCAAAAAGATTTGGAGGAGATTTTAATCTCACTTGTCTTGATTTTATGGGACCATGTGACTGTAAGGAGCACAATCAGAGTCGATCATCAGTCGGTTGGCCGACCCCGATGCTGAAACCGACCACATCGGTTTCCAAAAATGGAAACTGATGGTTTCCCTCCGCAGTTTGGCGCCAATTGGTCGACCGATTGATTTGGTCCGTCGGTTTAACTGACAATTTTTTTGGTCTATTATTGTCGTTAAGAAATAAGAATTAAGAAAACTTCGAAAGATTGGGTTGTTGGTAAGAAATAAAAGAAAAGAAGACATGATAAAGAAAAAAAATCTAAATGGTAATGGAAGAAGGAAGAAGATGGAGAAAAAAGACAAATGTGGTGAGAGAGAAGATTTTGATAGATAAGAAGAAAGAGAGAGAGAGTAATAAATGAAAAGGTAAATAATGAGTGATTTGGACAAATAAGAGATGAGAGAGAAGAGAAACCATTAAAATAAAATAGTATAAAAAAGTTGGGTGGTAAAAACCACGAACGCCAAGATTTTTCTTAGAAACCACTTTGAAAAACGGACCGGGTATCTTTCCAATCTAACACAGAAGTTGGTCAATCGGTCGGTTTTTCCTTATTTGGAACCACCGACACTGACAGACTTGTAGTTGAAATCGACCGAACCGACTTGGTTCGATCGGTTGGTCGGCCGGGGCAGTTTTTCAGGGGTGTGATGCTCACCCCTAAGCCCAATACTCGTTTCCTTATTATTTAAAGATATATAATTGCGGGAATTTACGCCTGCATTAAATGCCACCTAATTTAATTTAATATTGTTTATTTTTTGGGGGTAGTTGGCAACTTTTATTTCATTATATTTGTTATTATATTAAAATTTGATTTTTTTAAAGAGATATTAAAATTCGATTTAAATTATTTTAAACGTTTAAATTTGTATGTTTCTTCTAGGTTCTTTAATTCATCGAAATCTTTTACTTTTAATTCTTGAACTTTGTAATAAAACTATTATAAAATCATCATGGTTAACTTTTAACAAATCATTTAATAAATATACCTAATTTTACATGTAATTAATTTTTTTATTTGATGAATAGATAGGTATAAATTATCGTTTAAAATTATGTATTATAATTGTTTTAGGTACAACATGTGGGTGACGATTCGAACTTATAATTTTTTAGATGGACATAAGTTATTAACCAGTTGAACTCTTTTTATGTCTGTAAAACTTTATATTAGAGTTAAATTGTCAAGGAAACATAAAGAAAAATTAATTCCTAGATACACGGCCGTTAAAATTTATATCGTGTTAAATATAAATTAATTTCTTGCTCTTAATGGAAATTAAGTAGTAAATTTCTCTAACTACGTGAGCTTTCCTCACCAATAATTGACACATATCATCAAGAGATTATGAAGTCGAATCTCTCGTCAGTAGCGGTACCGAAAAAAAAAATAGTAAAATTTTGTACAACTAAAATTTAAACATAAAAATAAAGTAAGAAAATGAATTTTTCACGTGCAAAAAAGGAGTGGAGGAGAAGAGAGGAGCTAAGCAGTGCATATGCATTTGCATTATTATAAATTGAGTGAGTGGGCAAGGTTGTTTCATCACAGTCCTCCAACCATGGCTTCTCTGAAGTCCTTCCTCGCCCTTCTTCTCCTCCTCCTTCTTGCCTTCGCTTCCGATTCTGCCTCCTCCCGACCCATCATCCGAATGTTTCCGAGAAAAAACCTTCTTCGGTTCAACGACGATACCAACCTATTATGTGAGGGTTGGAAATATTCGTTCGAAGTCAATAACCTAATTACAAATTTCACCAGTCCGAAGGAGTGTGTTCCATTCCTTAAGCACTACTTCGACTATATCGACAATGGCGGTCGTTATTCTGTCGACCTGTACTATGCCATTGAATATGCGTATGAATACGCAGAGACGGTGAAGCTCAGCTCCGACGGGAGAGATGCTTGGATTTTTGGTGTGGATGACACTCTACTCTCTACTTTGCCATATTACCAAGAACGCGGATATGGGTAAGTTCAAAATTATGAAAATACAAGAGAAAAATATACTAATTATTATCTTTGATTTAGAAAATATGGTAAAGCATAATTTATCCTATAATTAAAAAGTAAAAAGTGAGAGATGTAGTTTGTGTTAGGAAACCCCTCCCCTTTAACGGAAAATTGAAATAAAACCATGGCATATTAAGAAAGAAAAATTCACCAGGTGAAAAATACCCTATCAATATTCATTCGATTCTATTTCGAAACTAATTGACTATGAAAGTAGTAATTAATATATATTATTAATCTTTGTTGGTTTCTTATCTTATCAATGTGAGATCTTTAACATGTTCTGGCGGTTCTTTTAAACTCACCCATTTTGAGCGAATATTATTTTTGGATGGAATGCTCACTTGAACATATTGGACTTGGACTCTAATGTTATCATGAGATGTGAGATCTTAACAAAATTAAAATTAGTATATCAGGCTTCAAATATTTCCAATTAGGATGAATAAAACTCTAAGCCGAGAAACTTTGGGAATGAAAATTTGCTCTGTTTTTGCATAGCTTTCCATCTCTTTTATTCACCAAATGAACGTCCACATTTTGTGTTTAACGTGCATTTTTTACTGGTTTGGATCCTTTGATCAAAGCCAATGCATTTCCCTAATAATTAAGACAAAGTTTGTATTTTTTCCTTTTAAAAATAGGTCGGAGACTTTCAATGAAACTGATTTCAATGAATGGATGGCAAAGGCCGATGCACCTCCAGTTGAATTCACTTGGGCGCTATACCGAATACTTCAAGACCTTGGCTTCAAGATTATCATATTGACTGGCAGAGACGAATTTACAAGAGGTTTCACACAACAAAACCTTCTCAAGGCTGGCTATTCCAATTGGGAGAAGCTTATCATGAGGTATAACATATAACTAAACCGCTCTTTCGGGCTCACCAATCTTGATCGGTGGCCCGATTCTACTTTTGGCATAATTTAGATGCTCATGTGAGCTAGTTGGACTATGATACCATATCAATATTTATGAGATTCTATTTCAAAATCGATAGAAAATGCGAGAAGTAGTCTATGAATCTTATAAACTTTGTTAGATCCATTGATCTTGCGACGTGAGATCCTTAGTTTTAGTTTCCGTACTCAAATTTATTTTTTCAACTGTGAAAAATGCAGGGGAATTTCGGATCAAGGTAAAGATGCAATTGTGTATAAATCAGAAATGAGAGCTAAGTTGGTGGGTGAAGGATATAGATTGCACGGGAACACAGGAGATCAGTGGAGTGATGTTTTAGGGCTTACACCAGCTGCACGTTCCTTTAAATTTCCTAATCCTATGTATTATGTCCCTTAAATTAAATTGTATGCTTAATCCTAAGTTTCTATCAAGTATGAACTGAATATTTAAATAAATTATCTCAAAATATTATATCTTGAGATAGTTGTCTTACTAAAGAACTGGTTCTGCTCTTTCTTTCCTCATCTCTAATAAGTTTGGTTTTATTTAGTAAGAGTCCATTTAGTAATATTCTTGTTATTATTCATCGTTTATAATTTTTTTTAAGCAATCTACACAATCTGCAACTATGTTTCTTATTTCTCAAAACATAAATAAAAAAGATTGTTTTATCATACCTAAATTCGTAGATGTTTAGAATCGTTTAATTCATTTTTCTTTATTAAAAATAAAGAAACAGCAACGTTACCAAACGAATCTTAATGTTCTCGTTCCTCCTTTCCAGATTCATGTTTCCGTTTGTACTTATTAATTAGGTCTCATTTGATCACTTTTCTTTTTTCTAGTGTAACAAATATGAGGTGCGTAGAGTAGATGTCAGCTACCATTAAACTATATATATTAGTCAACCACATTTAGTTTTTGGTTTTATGTTTTAAAAATTATACTTTATTTTTCACTATTTTCTTAGTTTTTCGCATTCTCCAAAAGTGCATTTGAGTTTTTCTCTAAATTTCAAAAATAAAAATAAGTTTTTCAGAACTACTTTTCTTTTTTATCTTCAAAATTTATTATATATAAATATAATAAATATTATCTAATCATTTAAAAATTGCCAACTCATCAATATCATGTCAGTATTCTATTAAATTAACGACAGTATCGAAAATTTGATTCTAATGACCTTTTATAACAATTTTTTAAAAATTAGATATTAAACTATATAATTTTTTAAAACTTAGAAACCAAATCACTTCAAGTACCAAAATGTGTATTATCCAAAAATTAAATAGTATTTTATAATAAAATCACGTTAAGTAAGAAAGCTAGCTAGTATATAACAAAAATTAATATATTAACAAAAAGTTACAGGCTTGTTCAATAAAATACTCCAACTGTCAACAACCTGAGAAGAAACTTAGCACCGACACTCTAGGTGGGAGAACAATGGTTATTGCCGACTCCCATTCCTAGAAGCGCAATACGAAAATGTATAAAAATTTCTACTCTTCTCGTAGTACGAAAACTTTCATAGTATCATAGGTAAAATACTTATATTATTATATAAATCAAAAAATATTTTTTAATAAAACAATAAAAAACACTAATAACATTTTCTTCTATCTAATTAAATTTTTTTTAGAGGAAGTCTTTAATTTTTTTTCTTCAGAAAGTGTTTATATAATGTTTTTTTCTAAAAAGAATGTCAAACATGCACTAAATATTTTCATTTATGGTTTATATTATAGCTAATCAACATATAGGCATGAGTATATCCATGTCTACCGTTGATCAATATATAGCATATTGATGAATTATGAGTAGTATTTTATTTATATTTGTAATTACTTTTATAAACAAACTTTAGCCCAAGCAATATGGGCCTGTCTCTTCAAAAAAATAAAATTAAAATATTGGGCCTGTCGTATTGTTTGGTCCGATTTGATCTTAAGCACGGCTTTTGGTGTTTTTTTTTTCTTTTTCGCTTCTTCAAATTCTTATGAATATATATATTAATCAATTGAGTTATGTTCGAGTGAATTAGTCTCGTTTAAAATATCATATTAAGATGACAAGGTTTGAACCTAGATCTTTTAGAAAAAGTAAAAATGTCTTAATCAAACATTAAACTAAGTTCATTTTCACTCTGGAAATATTAAAATATATTATTTTAAGAATTTTGTTTATACCGCTATACTTTGAATAAATAATTAATCTAATTTAACTGCTATACATCTTCTCAAAAAGAAAAATAATAAAAAACCTCATACAGGATAAATTTTCTTAATAATCACTTGGACTTTACGCTTCAATTTTTTTTTCTTTTTTTGTTGACTCTTATGCTTCAATTTTAAAATATAAATTTTTTCAATTTTACATTAATAACCTGACAGGACTAGGAGGATCTTACTGGAAAAGACTTCATATTATTTAACACTAAGAAAAAAGAAAGATGTTTGTTTTCAGAAATGGAAAAATAAGAAAATAAAAATTTAGACTTAAATCTCATCTTTGGTATCTAGATTTTCATTTTTTGGTCTCTTGACTTTCTAAACCTTAACCATTTTGCTCTATAAATTTTCTCAAGGTCTATTTGCCTCCTAATATTATTGTTGTATGAGAAATCTTGCCTAATTATTAAATGTCATGTCACAAATTTAAAATTATATTTAAGACCAATTACAAATTTATACGTGTCCTAAATTAATAAAGTAATATATTTCTATCTTTATTATCAAAGTATACATGAAATTTATGATCTTTTACAGTACTCAAAAAGTCGATTATAAAGAACAAATCTGTCAAAGAAACGAATAAAAAATTTATTCTAAAAAGTGCTATAAATCGTAGTAGGTGAAGATTAGATCAAAATGTGCCAAATTTTTGGACTATCAACACCACTGATTTCAGATGTACCGTTTCCATGAAGAATTAAATGTGAAAAAGATTTGCATTCAATTCCCCCTTCAGATTCCCAAAAAGAGAGGAAAAAAAAAGAACCAAAAATCTGTATAGTTATTGCCATTAAATAATCCCACACCCCATTACCTACCCGTGGTACTCCGGCCACCGCCGCCGCTTCTCACGGCGACATTCCGACGAGCCGCCCACAAACCAGCGTCCGCGGAATCCACGTAACTGGGAGACAATTCAGCCCGATTCCCGGAATCGCGGAGCATTCCGGCGGCGGCCGCTGCATATTCAGCCCCGGAACACAATTGAACGACAAATCGAACCCGCCGAACAGATTCCGACACTGCTGATTGAAGCCGGAGAAAAAATTGTCGGCGATGGACAGATTCACGAGGCTTCTCAAAGAACAGACCAGATCCGAAACGACGCCGGATAACTCGTTATGCGCCACATTCAGAATCTCAAGTTCGTTCAAACAAGAGAACGAATCGGGGAGACGACCGAACAATTTGTTTGAACTGAAATCCAAAACTTCAATCTGTGACAAAAACCCAACTCCCTGGGGAATGCAGCCGGTTAATTGGTTATTCAGAAACAGAATCTCCTTCAATCTCGGACCCATGAACCCAAAACTCGCCGGAATCGCGCCGGTGAACCGATTATTCGCCAGATTTATGACGGAAGCCGGCGAATTCCCGAGGTTTTGTGGGATTTCGCCGTCGAATTGATTGTTGTTGATGAGAATGGCGTCCAATTCTTGGAAGAACAAAGCTTCTGGGATCGGTCCAGAGAAGGAATTGAATCTGAGGTCCAAATAGATCAGCCTTCGAATGTAGAGAGTGACGTAAGGGAAAGGGCCGGAGAAATTGTTGTTGCTGAGATCCAGTTCTTGGAGGGAGGGGAGTTGCCGGAAAGTGGCCGGGACGTCGCCGGAAAATCTGTTGCTGTTTAAGTGAATGAGGGTCAGATCAGAGAGCAGAGCAAGCTCTTTGACGAGGGTTCCTCTGAGATTTGCGCCGTTTAGGTCGATTCCAGTGACGGAAATTTCGCCGGATTTATGATCAGTGCAGAATATTCCCTTGTAAGAACAGACGTCGGAGCCGACCCAGGTGGCTAAAACGCCGGTGGGGTCGTCGGAAATTGCTGATTTCCATGCCTGAAGAACAGAGTATGCTCTGTTTTGTTCCTGAGATGGAGGCCCTAACGGCACCGGATTCGGATTGTCTCCCCCTCCGCCGCCGACCCCAAAGCCGAAACCAACTCCTCCGCCGACACCCACGACGGCTCCGGCGGGAACTACACCAATTAGAAGAAAACCCAAAAAAACCCAACACTCCATTTTCATTTTCAATTTATTGGTTTCAGCATTGAAGAGAAGAGAAAGGTTCTGGATGGTTAAAAATGGAGGTTTACTTCAGCATTACTTCTGTTTCTTCGGTTTTATAGTGAGAACTTTCATCTTCCTTTGTTCCTAACTTTTGTGAATCCTTTTCTTTGGGAGAGGTTTCATGATTTCAAACTTGAAAGTGTGAGACTTTGAAATGGGGACTAATGGCTGTTGACCACTTGTCAGTTTGAGGATATGG